TAAAAGAAGGATCAGTATTAGATATTGTTTGAGTCTTCCTTCTTTCTGAATATAGTTCTTTCTTTTTTTTTTTTAGCAGCCTGAAGTGATCCATTGCTTAGCTAATCATACATTAGCAGTGGCTTTGAAAAATAGCCTTACATTTTATTCTAGGTCATGATATTGATGCTGGCTGTTCATTAGCTGATTTGATTGATCAGAACTTAGAGGATTTCGCCTAAAACAGCTTCCATTGTGATCGATGCGTCTGATTGTTACAACAAAAAGAACGGGTCACAACATCCTACAGACTAGTTGATTTATTGTGGCATAATCTATATCAGACTAGAAGCTAATTTTATCAGTTGAGCAGGATGCCATCTTCGTGTGATCATCAAATATTTTTTTGCCTTAAAATGTACAGTATTTATTGTTATAATAATTATGTTATTTTTAAATGCTAATATATGAATGAACATCTTTGGAACAACTAGCAGGAGAGCATATTCACAATATTCTCCTTCAAGAATTATTTTTTTCCAACTGGAAAGTTTTGAACCACCTCCAGGGATTGATTCAAGAAATGCCCACGTTCCAGAAGGAACTATTTTCTTTGTTAAAATTCTTTTGAAGGCATCACCATTTTATTTATTTTTATGAAATATACGTATGATTACAGCATAGGTCATGTGAATAAGCCATGGAGAAGATAATATAGACCAGTGATAGCTAACCTTTTTGCCATCGCGTGCCAGGAGTGGGGGGAGTGCGGGGGGGAGGTCACAAGTGTGTGCCCACACCCATAATTCTGTGCCCCACCCCGCGCATGTGCGCATGACCCCCCCCCCCGCTCCCGGCACACAATGGCCCGGTGGGCCCATTTTTCTCTCTCCCCAGGCTCCAGAGCCTTTCTAGGAGTCTGGGGAGGGCAAAAACAGCCTTTCCCACTCCCCAGAGGCGCCCCGGAGGCCCTCCAGAGGCCAAAAATGGCCCGTTTGCCAACTTCCGGTGGGACCAGAAGGCCCATTTTTTGCTCTCCCCTGGGTCCAGAGCCTTTCTAGGAACCTGGGGAGGGCGAAAACGGCATTCCCCCCCCCGGAGGCCCTCCAGAGGCCAAAAACGGCCCATTTGCCAACTTCCTCTGGGACTCACCAGTTGGCAAATGGGCCATTTCCGGCCTCCGGAGGGCCTCCAGTGGGGTGGGGAATGCCATTTTTGCCCTCCCCAGACTCTTAGAAAGGCTCTGGAGCCTGGAGAGAGAGAAAAACGGGCCTTCCCCACCACCACCCTCGAGGCTCTCCAGAGGCAGGAAACAGCCTGTTTCCCTACTTCTGGTGAGCCCAGAAGGCATGCCCACTGATATGGCTACGCGTGCCACCTGTGGCATGCATGCCATAGGTTTGCCATCACGGATATAGACTATAGGCTCTCTCCCAAAGGGGCATGAATATAGGCCAACCACAGATTCTTTATTGCCACACATCATATCTATCGTAGACAAAGGCAAGATGGCAAACTTCAGCTTCTCTGTATCATTCAGTGTCAGTCATCCTTGCTTTCCAGCCTTAATTTTTGCTTAGGCTCACTTGATTTTTTTCTTTTAATGGTTCACCAAGCATTATTAGACAATGGGAGTCAGAGTGACCCAAATCCAATGCTTTGATTTGAAATATTATCAATTCCTCCCTTCCCCAAAAAAAGGCAAAGGGAAGCAATGATAACAGATGACAATAAAAAGTAGTTTACTAGGGTTGGCATGGAATAAGCCCATTCAAATTCCTTCTTGATGAAATGGCAGTTTTATGACTGGCCTTGCTCCACAACTGCCATTTTATATAAGCACTCACATTGTGCTCTCAAAGCCTAAATGTGGCCATCAGGTACTGTATATAAAGGCCTCTTGGTGTCCTCTGGTTTGTTGAGAATGACATAACCCACATACCAAGACTGAGCTTGCCATTTGTGAACATAGGTCCAGGCTAGGCTTTCTGGCTACGGTTAAAATAAAAATCCTAGCAGCTGGTAATGTCAGCCGTACTAGATCAGGTAGTATGGGAACTGGAGATAGAATCCAGAAATTAGGTTCACAGAAGAGCTGCTGGATGGATTCTCGTTATTTCTGCTAGCAAAGTATTACAGTTTCTGGCAATTAGCAAATTCACACCAGGCCCATTTTAAACCTTTTGACTGGAACCTCATTCTGGCCAAGTAAGCTAAATCTATACTCCTAACCTATACAGCAGAGGTGTCAAACTCAAGACCCAGGGGCCAGATCTGACCCACAGGGTGCTTAGATCTGACCCGCGGATCTGGAAACAGCAAAGGACTGGCCCATGGTGCCTCTGCCAACAGAAACGGAGCTCAGGAGGGCCGCACGCAGGTTGCAGGAGGCTGTAGCAGCCGAAAACGGAGCTCGGGAGCCCGTTTTTGCTGGCAGAGCGCTCAGGCCACCACAGGCACCACCAACCCGAGTGACGTCAAATTGGCCATGCCCACCCTGGCCACACCCACTCCAGCCCCTCGAGGTCAAAAACAACCTCGATGTGGCCCCCAATGAAATCGAGTTTGACACCCCTGCTATACAGTATCATTGGATATGGTGGGATCTCAAGAAAGAGCTATTCATCTCTTTGAATTTAATGCAGACATTTTCTATGAGTATCCATAAAGACTACTGTAACTTTCATTAAAAAGCAAAGGTTTCCCTGAAACAAAGTACACTGCGCTTGACTATATGGCGATGTCCATCTTGACAGCAATATGGAAATGGATCATATATTTTTCTTTCATTGCTAGAAGTTCCCACAGAAAAATCAGTCAGGCATTTAGTTGCAAAACACCCTTCCTAAAAATGTATAAACAATCATCCTTCACTTCATTTAATGCTAGTGGTATTCAGAAGTCAAATTTTCCTCAAGATAAATATTCAATTGTGCCATGAACTTGAAAAGGATTGTGGTTGTTTCTCTGTAATTATTATTTATAGCATTATGAGAACAAGCATAGTTTCACCCTTTGCTGGCATGGCTCTCTCCTCTTGTGACTCAAAATCTGAAAGCTCTATTTCCCTGTTGGATTAAACACATTTTTGTATGTTGTCTGAAGCTTAAACTGAGATCTTACCTATCGATAGTTAAATGCTATTCCCAAAAAATGTAGCATGGTGTTGCCTTGTTTCATAGTTATAATTAACTATTGTTTGCCTAGGTTGGTACCTTTAAGCAGGGCATGGTTAATTAAGGCAGTCTTGGTTGGATTTTGATAATGTATTTGCATGGAAAACAAATTACAAATGTGATGCCTTTAAATCATGGGTGCCAAAGTCTTAGTGTAACATTGCCGTCACGTGATGTTTTGTGATGTTTTTCCCCTTCGCGGAGTGGGTGTGGCCTGGGGTGGGCATGGCCTGCATGTCATGTGACGCAGCCAGCCAGTGGGCCGCCAGTTTGACACCCTTGCTTTAGATAAATAGCAAGAGAGAGAGAGAAAGAGGGAGAGGGAGAGAGAGAGAGAGCATATGAACACACACACTACATTTTGGCTTGGTGTCTTTGTCTGGCACTTGATCCCTATCAATAAAGAACAGAAATGGAATCTCCCAAACTTTTCACAGCTGACCCAGAGATATGGTCCATTTGACCTCATTTTGCAATGCTTCTTGACGCCTCAGGAATTATTTCATTTTTACTTTTTAATCACCAGAATTGAAGCACAGGTTCTATTTCTCATGTGCCAGGTTTAAGTAGCTAGCCACCAAGTAAGATACCTCTGGAAGATGGATGGTACAGCAGGAAGCAGGTGTTGCTTTCCCAAAGCAAGAGGCAGGGCTAGAATGCAAAGACCTCGAAGGCTTCCGAGGAAGGAATTTGAGATCTCCAACTTCTACCCAATGGACTTAAGAGTAGGTGGGCTATTTACTACAACACCAACTGATATATTTCATTGGGTATGGACAGAATATGCTAAAGGCCATGCAGTTATCTAGATGAGGGACAAATAATTCTCTAAGGAATTCCCTCTTTACAATAAAACGAGACTTTAGCTTAGGAAAAAGTTGTATCTGTTCCTATTGCTGAAGATGGCCCCAGCTTAACTCAAACCCAACTGGACAGAAGTTTTTGACATTTGGTTGAAAACTTCTTAAGATACACACACACACATGTATATTAATCAGAGTCCATTTTTAATACATAGCAGAAAAAAGTCTTGAAAGTTAACAAGGTTGATACTGTATGATGCAAAGCTATTACAGAATTTAGTTGTTTTACTTCGGATAGCACGAAGGTAACAAAGAAATTAAATAAAATAAAATTTTTATTTTTCTGACCCAAAATAGGTTCCCAAACAGCTAATGATTATTTGGGGCTTGTCTTAAAAAATATATTGGGGAAAAGTGAAGCCAGGGAGATTTGGCTATATAAATGATACTATTTAGTCTGGGGTGGGGGTGGGAACCGTTGGTAAAAATTTACTACTAATTACTTCTGTTAAATTAAACATTCTATCATGAAGGTGTTGAGAACAAAGGAAAAAGAACATTTTGCTCTTGTTCCCAAATGTTTATTAATCTTACTTTATTAATTTATATCGCCCTTTCTGCTCAAAACAAAACTTAACGAGGACCAAAATAAGCATTTAAAAATGGCTAGGTGGGTGAAGTGTCATATTATTTGTCCATCATGTTTTACAAATAATGACTGAATGTGACAAGTGTAACAAGTCCGAAGTTTTAAGGATTAAAAAAAAAAAAGAATTTAAAGAATTTTTAGCCTGATTAAGGCACCAGGCTAGAAACTAGGAGATCCTGAGTTCAAGTCCTGTCTTATCCATGAAGGCCAGCTTTGAGCAAATTACTGTCCTCAGCTCATAGGATTGTTGTTGTGGGGAAAATAGGTGGGAGGAAGGCGTACTGAATGTTTGCCAAATTGAGTTACTTGTAAAACTAACGAAGGTGGAATACAAATAAATAACTGTTGGTTTGCTTAATGCAATTAAGTAAGGCTTTACAAACTCTCTTCCAGAACATTCTCCATGGATTCGCAGACAACCTGTGGTCTGTTCCTGACAACTCACTACATCCCATTAAAAGGACATTAGAGACACTATGTTGGAATGAAGACACCACACAGGATGTGGTATATGATTAAGGAACAAAGCAAAGAATATGTGAAAGAAGCACTTTAAAGGTTCCCGACATCAGTACCTATAACAGGAATCCAAAATCGGCCTCAGTTCTTTTCGAATTATTCAGAAGTAGTAGTTTTCAGTTCAGTTTGGGGATGAACAGCTTTAAGAACTGTTTTAAAGAAAACAGTAATTCTGATCCATGATGGTATTCATCCTTTACGAATGATTGCTCCATCTACTTAGAGCAGTAATTATTTACAAAGCATGTGTATGTATGTGTATATGTACGTGTGTGTACAGTATAAAATATTAATCTATTTTAGGTCTATTATTAAACTTGCATTAATCTTCATAGCTTAATATTGTAAACTGATATTTGCATCTCCCCAGTTCTACGCAATGAATGCAGTCTTGAACATAAACAAAAATTTTGCAAACAGATAGGTAATACAAGCTTTCCCAGACCTGCTGTTTGCATGCGAGTTGGATTCATAAATGCAAACAACTTCCCCCACCCCCCAAAAAAACAGATTTTTATATCATCCCAGGAAAATTACACCAAGGGTCATCACTTCATTGCTATTCTTTCCGCTAGCAGGTTGCACTGATCTGGGAGCACATTTCTTTCAATTGCCACCGCATTGTCTGGCTGCAATGTTAGCATTTCTTCTGGAGTGATGGTTAGACGGTTTCTCATTGGCAGCAGCAAATTTTTATGTCTGGAAGATTAGCTGGCTGGAGGGAATGCTGGATAGTTGGGGAAGAGCTCTCAGGAAGGAAAAGCATGAGACTGTTTTAGAGGATTTGGGGAATAAAGCCAGTGGCTGCATAAAAGAAGTAGGCAAAGACTGGATTGGTGGGTTTTGTTTTGTTTTTTCGTGCCTTCAAGTCACTGTTGACACTTGGCAACTGTCTAGATCAGGGGTGTCAAACAGTGTCACATGACATATTGGGACTTTTTTTCCCTTTCGCTAAACTAGGCATGGGCGTGGCCAGCACATGACATATCCGGCCTGCAAACTGGGAGTTTGACAGCCCTGGTCTAGATTAATCCCTGTAGTTTTCTTGGCAAGAATTCAGAAGTGGCTTGTCTCCTTCTGAAAGTGACTGGCCCAAGGTCACCCACCTGGCTTTGTGCCTAAGGCAGAAGTAGAACTCATGGTCCACTATGCCTCGGAAAATTGTACTTTATATATGGGTCATAGTTCCTTGATTTATTTTAAAACCATGGTTAAAACATGATGGCACCATGTTATCACAAAGCTCACAAAATAGTGAGACAAAATTTATGTTTGCAGATGCTACACTGATTCAGAATGTCCTATTTATTTTTGGAATGAGTATCTGCTTTGTGTCTTTCAAGATTAAGCCAAATAATTCATTCATTTTCTTTGTAATCGCATCTTCCTTTAGTACATCTTTAACTTCCTTGTTATCCAACAGTCTGTCTGCCTCCTTTTCTGATTTCCAGTTCATAATATTTTTAAAGAATGGAGTCCTTCATCTTAATTATTATGGTACTCTAATGATTCTTGAATATGAGTACATTTTCCTTCTTTTATTTTGCCAACTTCCTGTCTTTTTATCTTTTCATTTGGACAATCATCCATTATTTTAGGATTATGCCTCCAGCAGATACTAAGTTTACTGTAGATTGAAGATTAATTTCTCTTGTATGCCTTAAAAGATGTGACAGAAAAGTTTCTGAGATCTTGCTAACGATTTTGTGACATATGTTACTGCCAAAGATGATAAGTTTTATTAACTACTAAAAGCTAGTATGTTTGCTAAGGGTGTATCTCTCAAAACAGTACACTTAGCAGTCCAAAGAGTATTTCCAAAGTTAACAGGTGGTATCAATGAATTCATCAATTGTGGATGGAAAAGAAATCATTTTAAAGGAGAAAAACATGCTGTTATTTCCCATATTTATATAAGTATGATTGAATATTATACAATTTCTGTGGGCTGTATGATGTAATCCTTTGAATATTTATTTGGAACTAAATCCTACTATATTCAGCAGTTCTTAGCCAACTATCAAGCAGATGTAGGATTAAGCCTAATAATATCATATTAAGCCTATTAATATACAGCTTCCAATCTCTCCTACATCACTTTTTTCTTTTTTCTTTTCATAGACTGTTTCAACACCTTTTATCATTCTTAGTCTCAGAGGAAGGCAATGGCAATACTTCCGCATTACTTACAAGAAAAATGTATAGATCTTTCCCTGCTGAGCTTGTCTTGAGGCTTTATCTTTTGAGAAAAATCCCATTAAAATTGTCTTTTCTTGAAAGGAACATACTTATGCTATTTAGCCTCCAGCTTGGGTTCTTGAATACTAAATGCCTACTAAATATGTCTTACCCCTCCCTCTTCCTCCTAAGGGATGTATGTGCTAGGCAAATAAGGACTATTGTGAATCCTTTAATAATCTATGAGGCCCAATATTTCTCCAGATCTAAAGAATGCTGCCACAAAATTGTACAAATCTGCTTAAAGATCCATAAAGGTGCCCTTGAGCAGAACTTGGCTCCTGGTGAATGCATCCATGCAGCTTTCTTAGCAATGTTATGGAAGTGATTTGCCATTGACCCCTTCTGGGATATTTTTTTTTCAATTTCACAGTCTAGCCAACAGCCCCAGAATCCTTTGTTGGTACCCCATCCAAATATGAACCAGGGCTGATCTGGCAGAAAGGGCTGCCATCTGCTGAAGTTAAATTAATCCAGAAAATTCATAAAGTTGCACTGCCAAGAGCAGCATTTTTTATTCATTCAGAAGAGATACTTCAGGATACCTAGGACAACTTCTCTGCGAAGTAGCTTCTTCATCGTATCTGAATGATGAAGGGAACCTGAGGGAATCTGAAGTCCCTCTTGTTAAGGTTTCAAGAAGTTATAGCAGATTACAGAAAAGAAGTGCTTAAAAACTGGGATCTCATAACTAGATATAATTCAACCAAAATTATTGAAGCTCTGTTACTCAGTGGCCTCTGTGGGATTTTGATGCTTTTCACTGGAATGTTAAAAGGCAGCATTGTAGCATTACATTGCAAGTTTGCATGCCCAATGTCACAGCATGGGCAGAAAAAGGGCAGAGCTTGTACCACAATTTCATAATGATGCTTTGGTCAGTCTGACCCACTTGGATCCCATGGATGTTGTGGTTCTCATTTACATTTGAAGATATTATACATGTAAACTAATGAAATATTTGACAGGCAACTCTGTGACAGTGATCATGTTTGGCAACAATGAAATAACCTCAGTTTCTGAAAGCACTCATCTCCGTTGATAATCTCCAACTAATAAAAGAATAGCATCATTAGACTGAAAAATAAATTCAGAGCCTATCAATGGAATTTGTCAGATTTTACAACTATGCCCTTTCTACCAAGAGAATGGCTAACTCTCTACTTCTAAGACGACAAGTTTCCTGTTTTTTAAAATATAAAATAGGTGCATTAAGTTGGAGGCACCTCCTTTACCAACCCACCCAACATAAAAATAAAGTTTAAAAAGGGCTCCTTCCAGGTACAGGAAGTTACCACCCACCCCTCTCCTAGGAAAATGAGATATTTTAGGAAATATTAAAAGGGTAGAATAAAAGAGAGGCAGAAACTCACACACACACCCCTCCACCTTTGCCAATGGGCCATTAAGGCCTGGGCCAGACTATTCTACATAATAAAGATCTACATAACAAAGAACGGGCCTGGTAGCTCAGCAGACTAAAAGCATTGTGATTAACACCAGCTGTCTGCAATTACTGTAAGTTCGAATCTCACCAGACTCAAGGTTGACTCAGCCTTCCATCCTTTCTAAAGTAGGTTAAATGAGGACCCAGTTTGTGGGGGCAATAAGCTGACTTTGTATAAATACACAGAAGTATGAAGGCTATTGCTTAACGCATTGTAAGCTGCCCTGAGTCTCTGGAGAAGGGCAGCATATAAATCAAGAAAATTTTTTTTTAAAAAAGATCTACCTCCTTCAGGCACAGCCATAGTAGGAGTTGCCCAAATCCCTTTCATTACATCATCACCCAGCAAGAGTCAACCAAGCCTGGGACTCAAAAGACAACCTACAAAGTTACACCTGCATGGCCCCATGGGAGTCTGACAACCAATCAGAACACAAGCTCAAATTCAAAACCCAACAGAGGGATAAAACCCAGGCAATCTCAGCATCTCTGCCCTTTTTGCCCAGGATCTCAAGCCATGTGATCCTGTTCATCAATAAACCTTCTTTCCAAGCAACTTCTATGAATCCAGTGTCTTTTTCCCCACTTGGAACTGAACCCAGATGGACATTTCTTCCAACAGAGGGAAGTCACTGTTAAACCCCTTGCCATCCTTGGAAACTCTGAACAAGTTTTTGTTTTGTTTTTTTTAAGTCCTTGGATACTAAAAGACCTGTGTACTATATCTTAAATCAACTTTTTCCAACCTATCCTCTTCTAAATCCATTTTTTTCAAACTTGGCACATTTCAGATGTGTGGACTTTTAACTCCCAGAATTTTTCCAGAAGTTTGAAAACAGTGCTCTAAATTTACTGGACTTCAATTCTCATAATTTTGCCATCCATGTCAGTTACAAATGCACCCATAATAAGCAAGTAAGTTCCAGAACAAAGTTTGAACACATTACCAAATGGGTAAGTTATTAAATACTGCTTATCTGTTTGTAAAGTGCAACAGTCAATTATTTAGCAACTGATGGTACTGAGAATGAGTCCCACCGATTGTCTTTCTCTTTGATCTATTGCTCCACTATAATCTAGTCCAATTCAAGGTCTTTTAGTTGAGCAAAATGTCTTAAAATAAATGTTCTAAAAACATAGGGACGTTACAAATTTCAGCTCCTTCAGTTATAATGATGCACTGTCACAGGTATAATTTTGATGGCTGCTAACTATAATTCCCAATAAGGTTATGATGAGTCTTCTTTTTCTAAAATTCACATAATAGCATTTATTCCTGTGGGAGGAAATGTATTGATTACACAATCAAGATCCTGGGTAATCTTACTTTGAATTACAGACTGCAAGATCCAAAATACTATGGATGATGGTCCATATGATGATGGTCCATAGGATGATGGTCTTGTATTGTTTTTAAAATGAAAGTGGTTTTTTTTTTCTAAAAGTAGCACTTTGGCTCACTATTCAGAGAGAAAAATTTTAAAAATCCCACATTTTGCACTTTAAGATGAGTAGTGTTATTATTAAAAGCTTGGACCTCAGAGACCGAAATTTAAATTATGGTATTTACTCAGTAACATTGGGCTAATAAATCTAAGTCACACCATCCCATCCTACATGGATATTGTGGAAATAAAATTAAGAGAGATCCCTTGCCAGTCTCCTTGAGCTCTCTGAGGAAAAAGCAGGATATATAATAATGATGATGTAAATCTTTAAGCATAAAATGTGTACAGTGATCTAAATTGACCTTAATAGATTTCAAAAGATTTTCAGATACATGTTAAAATTATTAAAAATAATTTTAGCTGTTGAAGGATGTACAAATAAGCTATTTCTGTTGCCTGTAAATACAAATACTTTTACTCCTATTTTATTAAATGGGGAAAACACTATGAAAAGGGCATATGACTTTGACAGAATCAATATTTATCCTTTATATTCTTGTATTTTATATAATGTATTATTACTGCACTATCATGTAGATTCAAAAAACCTAAAGTGTATTCTTTCTTATATAACCGCTTATATATGTATTTCATATATAGGTGCTTTAAATATTACTGTGTACTAAATAGAGCAAGAAATAAAATTTCCTGTATTTATTGGCTTTTAATCTTAGTGGATCATTTGCACTTTCTTCCTCAGTGCATATTTACCAAATTTATTTAATCATAAATGAATCTAAAATGAATCTTGACTTTGCACCAATAAATATCTTTTAACTTCAACATATGCACATTTTCTATGAATTACAATGAGTTAACATCAACCTATGTACGTTTCCTTTCCTCTGCATAATTGTATTTAACCTTTATGTATGGCAGTATTTCAGTGATGCCTCAAAATCTGTAAGACGTAAACATGTGTACAAACTAAAAAATATTTATTTTATACCATAAACTTTAAATTAAATAGGTTCTCACATGAGGCCCTGGTTCAGTTATTACGCACTAATTAGGAGCAACTCAATATTTACCTGCCAGCAATTTTATATCTTAATTTTTTGAAGTTCGGTAATGGACACTTTGAATTTGCTTTAACGAGTACAAAGCGTTGCCAATCAGAACCATCTCTTAAACAGCCTCCTGGGACTATTGAGTGTATAGCACATTTAGTTTAGTGTAGTTTAGTGTGTAGCACTTATTTTTCTTTAATTTATCAAATTTCTGGATAAACATTCATCAACTACCTTTCTGCAGTAAGTAGAAAGCATATAGTGTAAAGAAAATATTGCTCATAAGTAAGACAATTTGGCTTATTTGTATTATATTGTAATACAGGTTATTGGATTATCCAGTTAGCATACCTTTGCCAAGGTCCTGTAGGAGGAGAGCGTACTGTGGTAGCCAAAAATCAGAAAGGGTTTGTTACCAACAAATGTCAAAGCATTTCAGTCTTGAAGAAAATTCTATTGCAGATCCCAAAGGGACTATTTGGGGGGAAAAGAAAAGCTGCATGGTTGAAAGATTGCAGAATCATCAAAGGGGTTTTGGGCTATCTCAAAAGATCTAAACAAACACAGCCGGGTTTTAACCCATTTCAGGTACTTGCAGCCCATCTCATTTGTAATCAACATAACCAGTAACCCTTTCTCCTCCCCCTGACTAATTGAAATCCTAGATCATTCTGTGCATCCTAGATCAGTCTGTGCATCTGTGGTGTACAAGCCTTTTAAGAAAATTTGCTAGGCTGAAAAGGAAAATAAGTCTTGATAGTACAGAGCCTTGATAGTACAGTGGTCTAAGCACCCTGTTATTAACACAGCTGCCTGCAATTACTGCTGGTTCGAATCTCTCCAAGGCTCAAGGTTGACTCAGCCTTCCATCCTTTCTAAGGTAGGTGAAATGAGGACCCAGTTTGTGGAGGCAATAAGCTGACTTTGTATAAATATACAAAAGTATGAAGGCAATTGCTTAACGCATTGTAAGCCGCCCTGAGTCTCCGGAGAAGGGCGGCATATAAATCAAATTTTTTTTAAAAAGTCTCTGAAATGATGAAAGAAGTGATTTTAGTGATGCAGTGGATAGGGTGGGGATTCAGTGGGAAAACAAATACATTGCACATATAAATACTAGTTAACTGCATTTCTCAACTCCAAGTACACCAGCAGAAAATCTTCTCTGAAATCCTAAAGGGCCACTGGTCAATCAGCATAAACTAAGAATGCTGGATTAGATACACCCATGGCCAGATTCAATATAAACCAGTTTCCTTCATTGAAAATTGGCATTGTGTGTGTCCTGTGTGACTTGGGAATTTAAAAGATCCGGATGTTTTTTATAATGATTTTAAATGCATTGTGCGCCGCCCTGAGTCTTCAGAGAGGGGCGGCATACAAATTGAATTAATAAATAAATAATAAATTTATATGCATACACAATACTAATAAAAATACAGCAAATCTAAAAACGTGGCTGAGGTTGTTTTTTTTTTTTTATGGCTTCTTGAAGAGCCAAGTGCTTCTGTGGATTCCTCTATGCTCCCAGTATCTTCCAGGATATGTTCCAATTCAATGCCTCTATCATTTAAATAGCCTTCCCAACAGAGAGTTCATTTGTGATTTAAAAAGCAACTTGTTATGCTTGAATGGAACCTCCTATAGGGAGTTTAGTAGCTCCACTTAGGAGTGCAAATATTAAAAGAGGGTTGGAAATGGATTTTAATTGACAAAAGCAAACAAGTTTTCATCTTGGGGATAGTCTAGTTTTTTGGATATTTCGCAATCAACTACCTTGGGAAGAATATATTAAGGCTATGCATTTCATTAGTACATAAACATGAGTCCTGCCAACAGACACACAGACTCAAAGATGGGTCTTGCGGAATTAAGACCCCACTCCATGCAGTTTCTTCCCTGAAAACCGTTGGGAATGCAGTTCACTACGATTAAAACGGGCTTGAAGGTACGGAAAGCCGAACGACGCGCTAAAAGAGCGCACAAAAGCCGCGGGGAGAGAGAGAGAGAGAGAGAGAGAGAGAGAGATCTTTCCTTTCCCGATTGGTCAAACGCCCGCACAGGCGTAGAAGGCAAAATGACAGTCTGCGGACGAGTAGGAACAGGACGTTCCGATGGGAGGGGAGGGGGAAAGGGAAAAGTCGGTGAGATAGGGGAGGGGCTTGAGCCGCGCGTGCGCAGAGCGTGCCTTGCTGTTTTTCCCCGCCCCGCCTCCCGCCCCCACCGCGGGTTTGGAGCGCTCTAGTCGAGCGCGCACGCAGCCACCTGTGCGCGCGGGTGTCAAGTGGCACGCAGGAGGGAAGGCGTGTGCGCGTAGGGACGCTGCCTCCGCCGCGGGAGCACGAGCCGCGCCGTTGAGGCGCAAAAAAAAAAAAAAAAAAACCCAAAAAAAAAAAAAAAACCACCAACCGTGAGGGAAGGTCGCCGCTCCGTTCTTTTCGCCTTCTCACTATAAGGCAGCCTTCGGCAGCGGCGGTGGCTCCCGGACCCGGAGGACTCTCCCGAGCCCGGGCTATGACCTGCCTCCCAAGCTACCTGAGTGGCGGCAATCCCGGGGCCACCCTCCGCGCCTTGCTCAAATCTTTACCGCAGCAACCGCCGCCAAGGAGGCAGCTCGCCGTCCCGCGCGTCCGCTTGGCTGAGCCCGCGGCTTCTTTCGCCGCCGCCGCCGCCGCCACAGCTGGGCTCCCCCTGCGTTGTCTGGCACTGGCGGGAGAAGAGCCGTCGTCGTCGTCTTCCTCGTCGCCGCCGCCGCCGCCCTCCTTTCCCCTTCCCTCTCCTTCCCCTTCGCGGCGGCGCCTCGGCTGTGGCGGCGGCCGTTCCAGCTTGTCCTCCAAGGCCGGCAGCGGCTTCCGCCCATCCCGGGTGGTGGTGGTGGCCAAGACGACCCGTTACGAGTTCGAGCAGCAGCGGTACCGCTATGCGGGGCTCTCCGAGGAGGATCTCAAGCAGCTGGTGAGCGGCGGCTGAGGCGCCTCGGGTGGGTTCGTCCTGTCCCCCCACCCACAACGGGGAAAGGAGACGGAGGAGCCTAGAGGCGGGTGGGGTGGGGGGAGTGCAGGTGTGGCGGTGGGGGGGCCTCTTTAACAGTAACATAGTTGGAAGGGACCTTGGAGGTCATCTAGTCCAACCCCCTGCTCACGCAGGAGACCTGTAGTAGGGATTCGAACCGCCGAACTGCCGACCTTTCTTCCCCCCCCCCCTCCACCAGGTATCCCAGGCGATGTGGTTGGGGGGCCCCCGAGGGAGACGTCCTGCAGCATACCTGGCCGGCCTCAGGCTATAGGAAGGCTTTCATTTAAAAGCTTCCCAGACCTGGTCCTTTGCACCGTTTGAAAACTTAAGAGAAACGTAACAATCTCTGGTTGGTCTGTGTGTCTCTTTTTTTTTTTTTCTGGCAGGGATCTTGTAGCAGGACAAAAAAAAAAAAAAAAAGGAAGGGCTTGATAATGTCTGCATATTATGCACGCACGTGGAGCAGCTATTTTAATAAAGGTTTGATCTGAGTTCTGGAGTTTTTATCCAGGCTGCCTTGAGTTCCAGGGGGAAGAAAAGTGGGTTATTGGAGAGGAAGGAGTTGCAAACAAAGGATCCTTGTTTTAACATCCTAGAGCCAGTTTTGGTTATTGTGGAATAAATAAATCCTTGGTCCAAGTCCATTGGTTGCATTTGAAGAAGTTTTACAAAAGTTACACCAAAACAAATCTCAATATTGGTATAAGATTTGTTCTCTTTGCAGTAGTACATCCAGATCTTGCTTTTCCTTAGGCCTTGATATACACAGGTATGATTAGATAGCATAGAGATGAAACAAATCTATTTCATATCATACTGCTTGGTGATTGAATATGGAGGCTGATCCAGTAGACCTTGGGCTACAAGAAAGAAAGTTGGGCTACATATGTTCTTCTCACATAACTTGCTTTCTTTAACCAGTTTACACTTAAAGAAGTTACGTTTTAATCAATATATTGTAGCCAGTACTTAAATCAGATGACTTTACAATGTAATTAGTTAATTCAGGGAAGAGACAACTATAATTTATCTGTTCTCAGTTACACAGAGCAGCAACAGTTGACATAGAAAAACCAGCCCCTTTTTTATTGTAAGGTTTGGTTGCTAAACTCTTTTTATTGTCCAAGAAATATCAATTAGAAATAGCACCTACCCACTTCCAAGCAGCTCATTGGTCTTACTACAAACGGTACAGTACTGTCTTCTGATGTTTTGGAAGCCCAGGTTTCAGAATTCAGTTATGATGATTGATACAATAATTCTGAGATTGTAGCACAGAGGTCATTTAGGGAAGACTGTTGAAGCACATGAGTTTGGCTCATACTTCTATTCAGAGTTGTACAGTATGCTGTAACTATTTCAGCAATATTTAGAACATTTTCACAGGATCAAATTAAAGTTCTATCTAGTTGGTCATTATGTTCCTGTAAGCAGAATGTTATCTCAATAACATTTACTTGTTCCAGAACAACTGGCCTTTAGAAACATACCACTTTTGATATTGGAAATAGCTCTTATGACATACCAATTAGCATACTTGTTCTCCATTAAGTTCATGAATTCCATTCAGCCATTAATAAAGAAATTATATTCTTTCATAGTATTAGAATTATGCAAATGAAGAGCTAAAGATAAGCAGTTAAGCGGTAACATGGAACATTACATTCTTCAGATGTTCAATCTTTAATCATGTTTTCGGCTGGTTCAGTCTTCAATAATCTAGAGGCTTTAAGTGTGTTTGATTTCAATTTCTATCACTTCTAGGTAGTAGTCCAAACTGGAGAATCTTGGCTAGATACTTCAGTTATCTACTGTAGTTGTTAATTCTTCTTTCTTAAGCATGCTGAAATTACCTTTTTAAAAAATGCTTATGTGAAATGCAATGTTAGCCATTGTGATTAATTTTAATTAATTTTAAATACATGCATACTGTAAAGCAAGTAAGTAAATAAATATCAATGAAATAAAATGAGAGCCAATTTGGTGTAGAGGTTAAGCTTGAAAGCTGGCTGGGTGACCTTGGGCCAGTCACTCTCTCAGCCCACAATGACTGGCTCAGGTGACAATTCCTGGCTTGTTGGTCAATTCCTGAGCAACCAATGGATCATCATTCGGTTGATCCAGAAAAAGTAGATTCTGTACTTGTGGGTGGGTGGGGTTATGAATGACATAAAATTCGGTACTTTTGGATCTCCCAGATCTGTCCTGAGCATCCTGTAACGCTTTGAAGTGGACTGGATGAATGCAGACAGAAAATATACTGCACCAAAAGCATTTGTTTTGCTCCTGGGTAAACATTTTTTTTTTAGTTCTATTCCCATTCTATCCAGCTTACTTTTTCTTGGCAGCAGTTTTTTAGAGCCATGTGGATGTATTGTTTACAGTTGCTAGACTACTGTTTTCCCCCCCCCTAAACTTCAAAACAGTTTCTCCAGAATAAGTGGTTTACTGTAGAGCAGTACTTTCACACAATCATCAGTGATTTGTTGGGGAATAGAGTAGAGCCAGATTTTGTCTATGGAACATAATGCTGTTAAGCTCTTACTTATCATTCAAGTCTTGTTCTGTTTTTCAGATGGCAGCAGTGGTGGCTCCTTAAAGTGGTGTCACTGCTGATTCTGATCTTATGTGCACAGGATGCTTTGATTGTGGAAGCAACGCTTCCTGATCACTTGTATTCATTCCATTAATTAGCAAAACATTTCAGTCTTTTCCCAAGGATTTAGAAATGTTGGTACTCATTTGAAACACTTTTGTCTATTCAGTAGTGATAAAATAGTTACTAAATAACTTCTTTAAACACTGTTATGGTTTTTGCTTCTTTCTATTGTATTTATTCTAAACAAAAATGACCCTGAATTTGAAAGAAAAGGGAGATTAGATAGAAAAATATTAGAAACACAGGCAGAAATTATTTGCAAAGCTCACACTTCCCCACTTTGTCAATCTGATTTACTTGTGTGTGTGTATCTGTATACACATACACAAACACACACACACACATTATTGATAACTAACTAAACTTAACTGCTAGTAAAATTAAACTAGATAACTTGTATTTTTTGGTTGGTCCAGTTTTGCTGAAATGTTCATTTCGTGTGTTTAAATTAAGAAATTGGAACTAAATAAAGTTGGTAATCTACCATAGATGAAGAATTGTTTCTGACAGTCATAGAAATAATTTCCCTCTCTTTCTTGCAGCTTTTTAGACACCCTCAATATCTCTTCAGGGTAATAGGGTAATAGTAAATTTTATTTTTTACCTAGAATAATTCATATTTAAGGGGGTTTTGTAATCCTTCCAGTTATCAATATCATTAAGAAAATAAATTGTAGACTAGAATATAAAGACTGAAACACCTATATAGTGTCTTTTTCAGAGTTTTTTATTCCTGGAATGTAGTTTTGGTAGGACATTCTTAACCCAATGAGATTGGCTTTGTTGACTTTTTCAGTCTCTCTGAAAAAGACTCCGATAGTGAGTATTTACAACATGTTCTGATAGCATTATCCAAAGGTCAGACATTTGGACACATTAGCTTTAGTTAAAGAAACATTTTCAGTGAACTAAGTTGGTTTCATTGTATGACTGGATTGAAACATTGTCTTTTGATACATGTAGTTAATAGGTGTTAATAGGATGGATATATCCCGGTAGATATATTGCTGTAATAAAAACTAATGCAAAGTAAATTTGGAAAGAAAGAAAAGAGTAAAGGTGAAAAAAGAAAAAAATGAAATAAAGAAAAAGAAAATAAACATATAAAGAAGTTAGTTCCACTCCTCATCACAAGTATAAACAAATTTGGTAGCTCTTCACCCCCTGTAAAATTGAACATATCTCTTCTTCCTATAACCATTCCTTATTTATAAGCAAATCCATAAATCATCAACTTTTCAATAGATTATTTTTTTTGAAGGATGTCACACATCAGGCTCTAGAATCATAACAGGTTATACCTCATATTAAACTGTGTTGTTATTAAGTAGAGCAGAGTTGAGCATTTCAGTTAGCTCGGATAAGGAGTTGCAATGTGACTTATGTACATATGAGTTTATTGTGAAACTAAGATATAGCAGCAATTGTGCCATTCTAATTATGACCTGGTGTGAAGGTCTTTTACTTTAGACTTCTGATATGCATATTTTTAAAGGTTTCGAATATCCTGATTTTTAAAAAAAAATAACATGGTCTTTCAGAATTCCTGGAGGTAAATAAAACACACAGCATTCACAATGTAATATGTGTGTTACATCCATTGAGAAGTGCTCTGAGCAGGGATTAATATAGAAATACTATATATTTTTTGTTATTTCTGACCAACTGTAGTCTGGTATATTGAGTAATTTTGTAAAGAGTTGATGTTCTAATTCCTTTTTTGATGCATCATTGTATTAACTTGACTACTTAAATTAAAATTAAATGAAATGTAGCATTGTTTCTCTAGCTTTTTGCTCACTTTGTTGTGAATTTATAATATACACAAGTTGTATATTAAGAATATACTTAGTTTATCTCTACACATGCAGCATTGACTATGTTCGGACAATACTCTTTCAGTTTAGTCAGTCAAACACTTCTATGCTTCTTTAAAAATATGTTCAATCAGCTGAATAGTCTGACAATGAATACAGAGAATGCAGCCAAAATTTTGAGGGCTGTAGAGAATTGTAATGAAGTGGTTATTGAAAATGGTGCCTGTTAAAAATATTGCTGATTCTGTTTTCCCATTTGTTCTATATTTTCATTGATTTACTAGGTTTATTTTAAATTCTATTTTCTGTTTGGTAACCTAATTGAAATAACTCAAACGTGTGGTTACACGACAGCTTTGGAGCTGTTCCAATTTGTTGACAGCCATATTCATGAAATTGGATCAAATGTGATTTTGTGTATTAGTTACTAGGTAGTAGGAAGTTAGTATGCAAAAGTATTGCAACTATTCTCTTGTAATGATAAAACTATGTCTTGAGGGGTAGACTTAATCCACTACTCCTCTCTACAGGATGGGAAGTCTATAAGAATGATCTGTCCAGGAGATTAATAGACTGTTCTCAGAAAATTATTTCATACTAGTATTAAAAGCCTGGTCATTAGGAATATAGAGATGATCCAAGTAACTAACATGATTGTTCTAGGTTGTATTTTTCTATGTAAAACGTATTTACAGTAGCGTCATATTCACTGAAACTCAGGAAAAATGAAGTCAGAAAATAAAATTCAGACAGAGGAAAAAATATCATCTTGAACTGGGAAACTGTGGATGATAGCTTCCTAATAACTGGAATATGAAGCCCACTTGAAATCATGGCTTCATTTCCTATTTTGCTTTGAAGTTATTAACCATCGTTTCTTGGTTTGAGCAAGGTGGGAAACTTAGGGGGGTCAGATGTGAGGCAGTTATTTGTGATGGCATAGTGATCAGTTCATTAAGATAAAATTTGATTAACACGATTAATGTTTATATATAAAGTCTGTAGGCTTATAGCCTAAACTGGTAATGTGTTGCAAATTCTTACAGTTTTTTAATTTTAAAATATTTTTTACCAGTGTACTTCAATTAGTGGAAAATAATTTTCAAGTTTCTAATTCTTTGCATTCTACCTTTTTAAAATGCCTGTGTTATTTCAATTTGTTTTGCCAATTTTCTCTTTCACAGCTTGCATTAAAAGGATCTAATTATAGTGGTCTATTAGAGCGGCATCGGATTCATACCAAAAATGTGGAACATATTGTAAATAGTCTAAGGTAAGGGTATCTATCAAGAATTTTGATTATAATTGAAATAATGTCAGTGAGCAGAGGCTCTGAACATTTATACATTATTCTTATAGTCCCTGTTTTAAAAATATTAGATAATGACTCTGATTCAGTAGTACAGGTAGTCCTCTACTTACAACTATAATTGAGCTGGAATTACAGTCATAAGTCATGCCAATTGTTAAGCAGGTCACTACATGGCCACTCCCAATTTTATAACTTTTTTTGCAGTAATTGTTAAGCAAATCCATTGTTCATAGTGGGTGTTTTTTTGCCAGAAACCAGAAGTAAACACCGATTTTCAGTAAAAAGCTCATATATTGTGGTCATATAAACGTGGGATATTGCAAACAGCCATAAATACAGGCTGGTTGCTGAGCACCCAAAATGTGATCACCTGTGATCACATCTAAAGCTATCGTGGGAGTTGGGGGGATTGCCTTCAAGTCAGTCTTGATTCCTGGTGGCTGCTTGCACAAGTTCCTATAGCTTTCTTGGCAAGTGGTTTGCCATGGCCTTTTTTCTAGGCCTTAGAGACTGGCCCAAAGTCATGTAGCTGGCTTTGCACACAAATTAGGACTCATGGTCTCTCAGTTTCTAGGCTGGAGCCTTAGCCACTACACCAAACTGGCTCCCTTAATCAGCAACACCTAATTTGAACTGCCAACATGACTGTGGGATACTGCAGCCATAAATGCAGGCTGGTTGTTGAGCACCCAAAATACAATCACATAGCTGCAGGGATGTGTGTGACCATTAGAACTTCAAATTCAGATTATAAGCAATGCTGGGGAGGTCAGTCGTAACTTCAAACAGTCGCTAAGCAACTTGTCATAAGTCAAGGAATACCTGTATATGAACATTATAAAGCAAATTGGATTTAGCATCAAAAGATACTTATTTTATTTATTTTATTAGTCCAATTTATATGCCGCCCTTCTCCGTAGACTCAGGGCGGCTTACAATGTATTATAGTATTATAGCCTGCATACTTTTTTGTATATACCTGCTTATTAGGGCTTTCGGGGGCCCCTAAGCGGCGGTGTTCTGTACAAAGTTGGCTTATTGCCCCCACAATCCAGGTCCTCAACTTACCTACCTCAAAAGGATGGAAGGCTGAGTCAACCTTGAGCCTGTTGAGATTCGAACTTGCACTACTTGCAGGCAGCTGGCAGCTCAGTGCTAGCACTTAACAGCACTTTAGTCCGCTGTACCACCAAGGCTCTTTTACTTCTTTTACTTTTACTTCTGAGTGGATGGGAACACAAATGTATCAGATGCAATATCTTAAAGCCGAAATGTCTTTGCTGAGATCCTGAATGCTTTGGAACACTTCTGCAGATAAAATCTGAAGTCCTAATAGATAATTTTGCTCTTTGTTTCATGTTATGTATAGTAATATATCTGTTGTTATTGTTATTTTTTGGTCCCTTTGAGTCAGTGTTGGCTCCTGGTGTTTTCTTGGCAAGTTTTTTCAGCAGTGGGTTGCTATTGCCTCTTCCTAGTAATGAGAGCTAAGGCAGGGCTAGAATTCATGGTGTCCTGATTTCTAGCCTGGTGCCTTAACCAAACTGGTTTCTACATTTTTCTGATTCCAAGTGGGTTCACCTTAATAAAGCAGCAACAAAATTCTGATACTGTTGTTTAATCCTTGCAGACGCATGGATTACATGGATTTAACATGTGAGAGTTGAATGCAATAAGTGGATATTTTCACGCAACTGATAACTCAGCTTTGATCTGTTTCACAAGATTGTCAGTAGTTCATATGAATTTTGTCTGGGTATAGGCTTTACTTTTCACTTCCTTTTTTTCCTAAGAGACATTGACTGACCTCACTTTTTGCGTTTCTTAACCATGAAAACCAAAACAATCACTTGCTTTTCAATATCTCTCTGTAGAAATGAGAAGATTGAAGTTCAGCTTGTGAAACGGAGAGACTATGACGAAGAGACTGTCCGGTGGGCAGATGCTGTTATAGCAGCAGGAGGTATTAACTTGTGAGTGGGGAAATGTATTTTGAGTTATTGAAAACTTGAATAAATACTTTTGCAGAAATATTAAAACCAAATTTGCCAATCTACAACTAAGTCTAAGCTAAAATATTGGTGAATTGCCAGGCACTGATGAGACAGCAAGATCCAGTCAAGTCCAATCCTTTATTTTCTTATAATTAATTGACAGAATATTGCCAAACTAAAACTATTACTTTCTTACCCACTGATATATCCTGAGAAATTCTAGTGTGTGATTACCCTGAACCTCTTGCTCTTCCCTGTGGGATACGTTTTCCCAAATTCACATCATCTCCCAGCTTGCACCAGTCACTTACACACCCTCTTTGACATGTGCCTCCGATACACCCTTGTGCACACTTCTCAATGCATGCCACACCCTCATCCACCCTCCCGGACGTTGTCATGCCTTTCACATATATTCCCTGACTCATACTTTCCCTGACCTTGTTGCACCTCTTGCACACCTGGCTTGCATTGTGAATCTATTACAGCTTTGTGTACTCTTATGCACCCTCTCCAATCTAGCAGCAACCTGCGTGCCAGCCTGGGACTTGCAACTTCCCACTGATTTTTCCACTTACTTTGGTTGTGGGAAGTCCACAGGAAGTTGCTTTGTTCAGTTACTGGGGGATTCAGTTAATCATGGCAACTGGACTGCAGGGATTGCTGCTGCTAAGCAATGCAGCTGCGCTTTACAGCCAGATTGCCTAGCGATGGAAAATGGTTCCAGTTGCCAGGATGCTGGTTGTCACTTTTAAGATCCTGTGTGATTCAGAACCAGGTTATCTGAGCGTCCACTTTTATCTGCCCATGCGAACAAGTCAAATAGTGTCAACTTCCTTTTAAGTCCCATCTATACAAATATGCCACCTGATGAGGTTTTAAAAGTAGGCATTTTCAGTTACCTCTCCAATATTCCAAAAATCCTTCTCAACAGACATTTGGTTTAATCCTTATCTCCTGGGTTTCAGAAAAGATCCAGTTATTCCATTAAGTATAGGAAGAGAGGTTATGCTCTGATTGAATACTTGAATTTGCTAGATGATATATTTGTACTTTATTGTATAATTTAATGGTGTATTTGGATTGTTTTATGGGTGAATTTATTATTTAGCGAGAATACCTTAACCCAATGGCCACTGGTACAAAAAATTACTATATTAAAGAAAATCATAATGGATTATTGTTCTTACTATAATTTCTTACTGTCTTTTATTGTTATACTGTGATTTCAACAACTGTATACCACTTAATACATCAAATAATAAATATGGCAAAAGGACTATTGTATCTTCCATATTGGAGTAACCACAGGCTTGATGACTTTCCCTTATAATTATTGACTGGAGTTGCCTGTTCAAATGCACTTTTGCAAAATAATACCTCTGACTTCCAAATCTTGTAGGTAGTCAGAAAGATACTATGCTGTGGAACATTGCTGAGACCTGATATATGTATCTCTGATAGGACTATGAGATGCATATTTCTCCATCCAGGGGAATCTAACAATCATCCATCAGAATATTTTACCAAATGAAAATTAATTATCAGTTTAACTGAATTTGAATCCTGAATCAAGAATTATCCTCTTCAGGAGAGCATGTACATACTGTATGCTCTTTCAGGTGACTACCTTCAAAGATGTGTTAGTAGGCCCCAGATGCATTGAGGCACATATCAATACATATCAGTCCCTTTTTTCCCCTTGAGATGTTTGTCCAATACTTCATTTTGGAATGTTAAAAAATTCTTATATAAACATGCTCTGATACCAAACCCTATATTTTTCCTAGGTGATGGAACAATGCTTTTGGCGGCCAGTAAGGTGCTGGATCAATTAAAACCAGTTATTGGAATAAATACAGATCCAGATAGGTGAGCCTAAGATTTGCTGGTATTTTATGATGAGGTTGAGTAGCCAAATAAGTAAATTATATTTACACATTATAACAATTTGAGCCCCATAGATACTTCTGAAATATTATCTTATATTCAACTTTCTCCCCACATTAGTTTTATCTTTTACCTGTCCTCAGAAACATAAATAGTCAAAGCTTAATTCAGTAGCAGTATTATACTAATCTGGAAAAAAACAGAATTGTTCTGCAAGTGTATAAAGTATTACTGTAGGTTCATAAATGTAACTTTTAAAATCTAAATGTCAAATATTTATTTATTTGTATCGCACCTTTATTATTTTTTACAAATAATTCAAGGTGGCAAACATAATCAGTACTCCTTCTTATTTCTATTTTCCTCACCACAACAACCCTGTAAGGCAAGTTGGACTAAGAGACAGTGATTGGCCCAAGGTCACCTAACTGGCTTTCATGGCTAAAGCAGGACTAGAACTCATGGTCCCCCGCTTTCTAGTTTGGTGCCTTAGCTACTAGACCACTAACCCTAACCTAACCTAACCCTGATGCCTTAATCGTTAAACCAAACTGGGTCTATCTATATGCCTAAATAAATCAGATGTTCTAAATTGAGTTCTACAAGTTCTAGTATCAATATATTTTATTTACTTACTAGAGTTACATCCTGCTTTTCTCATTTTTTTCCACAATTAGTCTGTAAGGTAGGTTGAGATGAGAGATAGTAACAGGCCCCAAAATTGCTAATGAACTCCATGGTTAAGTATGAGCTAGAATATTGTTTTCCTGATCCAAATCCAACAGTAATACTACACTAGTATTCATCGGCATCAAAATAAATTTTCATCTGATAGCTAATATAATTCTCATTAGAAGTGCATTCATTGTCATTTTTAGCTCATGAATTATATATCCTGAGTCCATTATAATGTAAACCTTGCATTGTCATCTTTTGGGAGTCTTTTGATTAAAATCAACATCACCAGGAGCCTGGATAGCTCAACAGACAGAGCTCTGTAATTTTAACATCAGCTGTCTGCAATTAAAGTAAGATCGAATCTTGCCAGGCTCAAGGTTGACTCAGCCTTCCATCCTTTTAAAGGTAGGTGAAATGAGGACCCAGATTGTGGGGGCAATAAGCTGACTTTGTATAAATATACAAAAGTATGAAGGCTATTGCTTAACGCACTGTAAGCCGCCCTGAGTCTTCAGAGAAGGGCGGCATATAAATCAAATTTAAAAACAAAACAAAACAAAAACTATTGCCTTTTAAAATTTTTCTTCTTCTAATGCTATAACTTTAGTAGTTTTTTCATTGTAATAGTTGAATTCTCACTGCAGATTTCAGGGATAATTGGAGTTAATGTATGCTTGTGAATCTTGCTTTTACCTAAGTCTTATTATTCTAAGAGTAAATGAGTGTTAAACTTGATTATAGCATTTGATTATCTTGAAGTAATGGTTCTTTCCACTTGGCTGTACACCTAATGCTAACCAATGTACTGCCATTCATTGATTATATATTAAAATGGCATTTCATTTTAAGCAAAATGAATTCTGTCTCTTGTATGTTGCTACATTAGACTATAAAGTCTTCACTTTTAAATATTTATCATGTACTACTTTCTCCTCCCTTTCTTTGTCTCTAAAGCTGTAATTTGTGGGATTGGGACGGTTGCCTTCAAATCAGTTTTGATTCCTTTCTTGACAAATGGTTTGCCATGATCTTCTTCCTAGGGCTGAGAGAGAGACTGACCCAACGTCACATAGCTGGCTTTGTGTGTAAAGCAGGGCTCATGGACTCCCAGTTTTTTGCCTGGAGCCTTAGCCACTGCACCAAACTGGCTCTCTTAATCAGCAACACCTAATCTGAAAATAGTAACATTAATCTATTTTAAAAACTTATGTATTTTTAATACCATGCAAAGCTGGTTATTAGTTGCTTACAATGTTCTGTCCAAAATGTGTCAAAATTTACTAGTATTGTTAGTATGAGCAGAGAAAGCTGCATATGGCATAGATATAATTAAGATGATAGTTTAGTCTCAGTTTCTCTATATTATTAAAAGTATTACATGAAAGCCTTGATAGATCAAAGCCATGATGGATAATGGAGATCAATATCTTTGGACCGGTATGGTGCTAATCATGGCTTATGCAGGAGAAGCAAATGACAGGAATCGTATTTTCTTTTTCTACTTGTAAAAAGTTCATTTAATTGACTTTGGCTGCAATAGAATAGAATAGAATAGAATAGAATAGAATAGAATAGAATAGAATAGAATAGAATAGAATAGAATTCTTTATTGGCCAAGTGTGATTGGACACACAAGGAATTTGTCAAGTGTATATGCTCTCAGTGTATATAAGGAGAATAAAATGCATTCATCAAGAATAAAAAGATACAACACTTAGTGATAGTCAAGGTTACTAATAAGCTATCAAATCGTACTAGGAAACAAATAAAAACAATATAATTGAAAGATATAAGCAACATGGTTATAATAATAAGTGGGAAGAGATAGATACTAGTAAGGAAGGAAGAATAATAGTAATACAGTCTTAGTAAATTATTTGACAGTGTTATGGGAATTAGTTGTTAAGCAGAGTGATGGCATTCGGGGGAAAACTGTCCTTGTGTCTAGTTGTTATGGTGTGCAATAAAAATGAACCTAAACATGTTTTACATATCTATGAAACTAAAAGAAAAGAGTGTGATGTAATAGATCTGAGTGATTTTGTGCAGTTGGCAGATACATACAGAGAAACATGATGTAAGTGGTCTGTGCATAACTTATATGTAAACATAAAGAAATCAGTTCACATGTAAAATTGTTAGTTGTTTTTATGAAGAAAAATTAAGAGGATTGGTGAAAGATGCTTGGGTGATGAGGTGCTTTGATTCACTTTGGTAGTGTCGAGTGAATCTTGGGGAAAAATGGACATGGAGGAAGAGGAAAAGAAGTAAAAGAAATGAGAGGGGAAGAACAACTACAGCAGGAGGAGAAAATCCTGTATGAATAAGTATTAGAAGATAAATTAATCTCCAAACAATGATTGAAAAGTGGATGTGAGGGAAGACGATGAAATAAAATGAAAAGAATTATGTCACGAGGTGCCACTGAAGTGCATGGAGAAGTATTAATAGGTAATATTGAAAAAAAGGGTGCTTGGTGGAATGGCGAGCCTCTGTAATGGGTAAGCTTATATAGCATATAAGCAAATATTTGCAGCAAAAATTAGGAAGAGATAAAGACTATAGGAAAATAGTTGTAAAAATATACTCAGAGCAAGTAGTATTAGATAGTAGTACTTATTCCACTGAAGATATAGATGTATTTCCCTAAATTGCTGATATTATAAAAATGTGACTTTTTGTAAGGAATTAATATTTGCCAAGTACAGTAGAACCTCTGGTCGCAAATGCTTCTGACCACGATCAAATCGGTCCAACCAAAAAATTCACAAAATTTTTGAATCTGGTCACAAATGCATACTCGGGTGACGATCAGATACGGCCGCAGCCGATTTCCCCTTCTGTGCCATTTTTTTTGTAAGTGCCAAACAACAGTGACTTCGTGTGGCTGCTGCATTAATTTTGCATTAATTTTGGTTAGGTTCGGGTCACGACCAAATTGGGTTGCAACCAAAGTTATGGAACGAATTATGGTTGTGACCAGAGGTTCTACTATACGCAAAACTGCTTCTGTATAAGAGCATGTTGCTACCGTCTTTGTTATATGGAACAGGGGGTTTAGTTCGTCTACAGCAGGGATGTTAAACTCAAGTCATCACCGCGGCGTCACATGACATCAGGAACTTCCCCCCCCTTCACTAAACCAGGCATGGGCGTGGCCAGTGTGTGATGCATCCGGCCTATGGGCCGGGAGGTTGACAGCCCTGGTCTAGAGAAATATCAAAATAAGTTGAATGCAGTCATAATGGAATACTTAAGAAGTGGAGTAGAACAGGACAGGAAAGTGGACTCGCAATTGCAGGAAAATAAGATGCTGACTCCAAAATACCATGTGACATTCAGTTGGTGCCTGAATTCAAACATGAATTACTTTGCACCCCCTGCATTCTATGTATTTCTTTCTTGTCACTCACTTTTGTATTCAGTGTGCATCTGTTCATTCTGAACCCTGCAGCATCTTTAGTACTGAGAGGTGGAACATTATGAAAAGAAATAGTGAATTAAATGATATTGCTGTATTTTGCTGTTTTGGTTTTTTTTTCTAGAAATGTCTCATGCCTTTAATTTCTGTCGCTTGCTATTTCCTATTACCATTCTGTGTTTGCTAACACTGCATACCTCAGCAGGTAATAGTGGGATGGGTGTGTTTGTTTGTTTTTGAGAGTTGTTGCTTTTGTTCACTGCTTAAATTTAAATACTTAAATTTAAGTAATGAACAAAAATTGTTATGAAATAAAAGATTTTGGTGTATTTGACATGTCTGTGAGAAATAGTTGATAAATTGCTCAGTCCCTCATATTTGCCAATTAAAATGCATCAGAATTCAGAGTAATATAATCCATTATTATATGACACATTCCTCTTTTAGAATGGGTGAGAGGGAATAAATCTTTGCTTGAAAAATATACTGAGTTTTCTAATATAATGTTTTATTTTTCCATTGTTATTTTATATACAGATCTGAGGGCCATTTGTGTTTACCTGTACGATATACGCACTCATTTCCAGATGCTTTGCAGAAACTTTATAGTGGTGAATTCAGGTAATATAAACTTAAATCTCTAGAGAATTTTGTCTTTAAAAATATTTTTAGATTTTAGACAAATATTGTCTAAGTGTCATTGACATGTATTGGGGATAAAACCTAATGATTATTTTTTCCCATCCTATATAAATGTAGAAGTATAGGACTCACTGAATGCAAAATAATGATTAATCTGCACTTATATACATATTTTGAAGTCAGTTTTAAATGAACTCAAATATTGTCAAGAAATGGGCAGGAACATGACGACTAATATAACTTCGGAGAAATCAGTGTAATCCAACACTATAATTAATTAATGATGAAACTCACTATTTTTTAAATAGAGAGTGGTAACAGTACCGGCATTAAAAAAGAAGGCCACTGAGAGATAAAAGGGTGCTAATCTGTCTGACGAAGCTATTACAGAGTTGCAGAAATACTGAATAAAATGGACAAAGATCTAATGGGGCACACATATCTCTTCTTACAACAGCCAGAAGAAGCTGAATGTACTCAGTGGATTCAACATGCCAAAAGTCTGTCAGAGCGGGAAAAATGGTGGGAGGAATGGGCTTGGCTTGAATCTTCAGTACGGACAATTCATGTAATTATGTTAAGACAGGTTTTAATTATGAATAAACTTGAAAATAATGGTGAATCCTTTCTTCCCTTCCCTATTTCACATGATAGCACCCATCATATTTTCCTACATGTGGTACAAATCATATAGGTTCTGAAATGGGGAATTGGTTAGAAAACACTTTTTTTTTCACCGAGTTCCTTATTTTGAAAAGTATGATGAGAGAAGGCTCTATAAATATTAGAAGAAAATAGAATAATCAGAGTAGCATTTTTTAAAAGATATGTATGTTTGTTAAGGCTGATCATATACTGTAGCTCAACCAGAAATTTAATTCTGTTAAGATAATAATAAATTCCCAATCATTGTGTGCAATAATTGTCAAATCTTTCAGTCATTCTTCAATAGCTGGTATACTATCATTCTCCTTAATATTTGTTAGCGAGGCTAACTAATATTTTTAAAAATAATTAAAGTAAATAATAATAATAATAATAATAATAATAATAATAATAATAATAATAAATCGTGTGTTGTCCTGATTGTAATTGGAGCAATACCCAAAGGGCTACTCCGCTATTTAGAAATTCTAAATTTGACTTGAACATTTTGACTCTACAAAAAACCACCTTACTCGGAACAGCTTACATCCTCCGACGATACCTTAACAGTTCCTAGGTCCTTGGTTAGGACTCGAGCTGCTGAGCTATTAACCAGTCTCAAAGGCTGTGAATCTCACTAAAGATTAAATAGTAATAATAATAATAATAATAATAATAATAATAATAATAATAATAATAATAATAATAATAATAATAATAATTTTATTTCTATACCGCCCTTCTCCCGGAGGACTCAGGGCGGTGTACAGCCTATTAAAAGCACAAAGACAAACATCAAATAAAAATAATTAAAATTATTAAATAGTTTCGGCTCAAATTTAACCCCCCCCCCAAATTTAAAACACCTAATTTAAAATCATTACATTGATAGCCCAGCCTTGCGGAACAGCAGGGTCTTGAGGGCACAGCAAAATACACGGAGGTCGGAGATCTTACGCATTTCCGGGGGCAGTTCATTCCACAGGGCAGGGGCTCCCACAGAGAAGGCCTTCCCCCTGGGTGTCGCCAGCCGACATAACTTGGCTGATGGCACCCTGAGGAGACCCTCTCTGTGGGAGCGGACTAGCCGGTGGGAGGCTATTGGTGGCAGAAGTCGGTCTCAAAGGTACCCGGGTCCTAAGGGAATGCATGGAATTGGTTATTTTATATTTTGGTAACATACCTACAGATTATCTTCTAAATATTGTATACATATGTAACAATGGATCTGGCAAAAATAATAAATTCAGCAAGTCATAATTTGAGTGTAATAGGAATATGATCATTAACTATATTTTTGAGAAGTGTTAAAGCAATAATTGCATTTTTCTTTTCCTTAAATAGGTGGTATAATATTTAGGTTGTTTGGTTTCACACTAAATCAACTTGTGCTATTCTGAAAATTCATCTCTTCCAACACCAGAAAACCAGAAAAAGAACATTTTGTCTTTGGGATACTTGAAGTTAAATTGCCCTAGAACTTTCAGAAATTATTTAATAATTTAGACTGTGATAAGAGTATGAATTTCATTCCCATCAACTAAATTTCTTTATGAGTTAAGTAATGTTAATAATTTTCTGAACGCTGTATGGGTCAGTTGTAGTGGTGATTCATGGAAAAAATTGTCATCCATTTCAGCTGCTTTACTTTTTGTGTTATCCTTCATCTTTAAAGATGGCAATGGAGGCAACGAATCCGGTTGTACCTTGAAGGAACTGGCATTAACCCAGTCCCTGTAGATTTACATGAACAGCAACTGAGTCAAGAACAGCATAGTAGGGCCCATGTTAATGGAAGATTTCAGGATCAAAGTGAGTACTGTTTTTCTCCAAAAATGCATTCAACTCTGATTGATGATTAATAGTACCCAATCTTAAAACGTCATCTTCAGCTCTAACTTTACCATCTCAAAAGAGTAGGAAAACATACTCAGAATAGAAATCAAATGCTTCTGTTAAGTGCAGAGCTCCTATGAATAGATGCAGCCAGATTTGTGTAAAATAAATGTTTTCATATCAAGTCTGAAAATAAGGATCATAATTTTAGTTCAGAGACATTTTCATGTTTGAGTGTGTTTTTAGAGACATCTGCTTGGCACTATATTTCACCCATGTAATTTGCCCGTGATTGCAGGATCTCAGATTTCTGAACCACACCTCTTGCCTGTAAGATCATTAAATGAAGTCTTTATTGGAGAGTCTCTCTCATCCAGGTATGCTAAACATCTACTTGCAAGCATTACTGTTTGGCATAGCCTGTAAACATAATACTTTTATTTATATTAAAACATTTCCAAACTACCTTGATTAATAATCTCTTCAATCAATCTTTATATTCTTTTGCTTTCTTACTGATTAATCTATGGAATTGCATTCATACTTGATTACTGAATCCAAATGATAATATTTTGCTTTTGAAGCCTGTGAGAAAGCAGTTAAGTGCTATATTTTTCAAGAAGTCTTACATGTTCATTTTATTATGAGTTGTTGAAAGAAAAACCATTAGCTGGTCTTTAATGCATCTTAATTTGCACCTTGCATGTTATGTGTTGGTATTGGAGTTTTGATTCCACTGACTGGGCTATATTAGCTATGTAAAAATTGCCTTTTCCGGCATTGTCTAACAGAACTTCATATTGAAATAAAAATAAGTTAGAGTAATCTTGTTTTAAGAATTTACAGAAACACTTTTTTTCTTACTGTAGTAGATTTTAGTGCTATACAAAACATTCAAAAGTTACACTTTTCAAACCACCAGTATTAGTGAAGCATACCTCAACTGAGTTCCAATTAACCATATGTTTTGGAAAGCTTGCATGGTTGCTTTGAAAGTACATAGGATTTGATGTAGGATTCCTAGAAGCGTATTGTATGCACATGGAGCAGCTACACAAGCATTAGTGTAGGATGTAAGAAAACAATGTTGTAAAAATGATTTAATTTTAACAGTGGAACAGAACTGTGAATGAAGTGCTTGGTAGAATAGTAGATCAGAAGATATGTCAGATCATGAATCGGGGAATTGGAACATATGTAATAGTAGGAAACATGAAACCATAAACTAAATAGTTGTAGTTGATAAAGCTGAGTATATTTAAGAAAATGGTTTTAACAAGTTCAATTTGTTCTGTAGATTCATTGTTCTGCTAGCAGTATGATCTGAAAGAGGACATGTTTTGTACAGATTGGAGGGACAAGGGGATTTCGCTCACTTGCGGCTTGAATTCAGAATTTCATTTTGAATTTTGATGACAGTAGGGACAATTATGTAGAAGGGAAACTAGTATGTGTTTCTGTTGTGTTCAATACTAGTAGATTTCCTGCTAATTGCAAACAAAATTACTAGAAAATTCTAAAAGGCTTTCAAAATGGCTTGCTCTTGTACTAACCACATGCTGGAGTTTTGAAAACTGATCTAAAAAACCCTATCCATCAAAAATACATCTTTATTCTTTAAAATCTGCTTTTTAAAACTGCTGCATACAAATTCAGTAGTAAAATTTTCAGCCATGTTTGAAATTAGCCCTTTTAGACTGGTACATGCCTGATGTCGGGCTGTGTTCTGTCTTATTCAGGGTGAACTATAAGTCCTGCAAACCCAGTTTTAAATTCTCCCTTCATAGGGCTTCTTATTATGAAATATCAGTTGATGATGGTCCATGGGAGAAACAAAAGAGCTCAGGTCTCAATATATGCACTGGAACTGGATCAAAAGCTTGGTAAGTTTGGTGTGCTTATGTCGTATCACTTATCTGTGGAACTCTTCCAAAAGGCATAATATATAGGACATTTATTTGATACAATATGCGATACTGCTGTTACAAGAAGTAAGTTGTAGAGGGTTTATATTTACTGAGTTATTTTAAGCCTTACCTATTTTATAGGTCACCCTGTTTATGTACTTGGGGGAAAAAATATTTGGGAACAAAGCTCTGTTGAACTTATTTTAATGTTTGGGATTTTTTTTCTGAGAAACATTCATTTAAGGTGATTTCCAACAAATGTACTAAAATATAAATCTGAAACAATGTAAATATTTCAGTCTTAACTCTTGTTAAATCACAAGAGTTAATTTGCTTATTTATGAGGTGGTTTACAGATTAAAATAGCAATAAAATATTTTTTTAGAAATTCAGTAATTATTATAATTATATGCCTTCAAATCAGCATTGACTCTTGGCAACTGCCTGGACAAGACCCTGCAGTTGTCTTGGCAAGTTTTCAGAAGAGGTTTTCTCTTAACTCCTTCCTAGTGCTGAGCCAGAGCGTGACTGGTCCAAGGTCATCCAGCTGCCTTTGTAACTAAGCCTCATATCTCCTAGTTCCTAGTCCAATGCCTTAATCCAGAGGTCTTCAAATTTGGCAGCTTTAAGACTTGTGGACTTCAACTCCCAGAATTCTCCAGCCAGCTGGCTGGAGAATTCTGGGAGTTGAAATCCACAAGTCTTAAAACTGCCAAGTTTGAAGACCTCTGCCTTAATCACTACACCAAATTGCCTCCTTTTATATATTTTAAAATAATTTATATCAGATTATAAGAAAATAGATAGATAATCAGCTCTACACCTGTCCCCAAACGCTTTCTGGGGGGGAAACTTCCCTCATTTTTACATGTTTCTGGAAGGCTATAAACTTGAACATCTTAAAATATAAATCGGTTGGCATAAAATATTTTTTACAAATCAGTAAAAATTAAAACCCTTATACATTTTTGAATATGAATATGTGGTATACTTAATTGTACATCCTTCATGTTATTGGCTCTGAATAAATAGAATTAAATGGTTAGCCTTTGGTATTGAAAATGCCTTTGCATTTGTCAGTAGGCTTACTTTGAGTTATAGGAGCCTTTGGAAAATTTCTAATTGTTTTTTTTTTTTTAAGTTTGGGATGCATTGCAGCAGGCTTTTGTGGTACAGATACATCATAGAATATTTATTTAGAGAATAAAAAGAACTCCAACAATTAATTGTGTGAGAATTTTGGATTGTTATTTTAGCCTTTAAGTACATAATGATTTTTGATTATAAATTTTCATGTACTAAGAACATATTTTAATACTTGTAAAATACAAAATTACTATCCTTATGGAATATTATGATTGTAGAATTCAAGCGAATGTTCGTTTTCTAGAACACATTCTGTAAGCATTCAAAAATAGACATAATTTCTCTTTAACCTGCTGGGTTACTTTACTGAAATTCTACTATTCCCCCAATTTTTCTAGATAAAGAGTTAAGCATGCTTAATATTATCCCAAGAAATATTTATAATTTGCTGAAAACAAACTAAAAGTAAATTCCTTTTGGTTTGATAATTTCTAGGATTTCCCAGTGTTTAGGTAGCCTTTAAATCAAAAACTTTGTTGTATGGTTGAACGTTATGGGTTCTGGGAATTTCTGTTTTATTCAAGCTACTGTTAAACTTTATTAGCCAACATTTTTATTATTATTTTTTCTTCAGCTTCCAAGTCAAACATTTGTTTCTAGAATATTAATTAATTAAAATAATTAAAAAAAATTATAGAGACAGGGAGAAAGGCTTCCCAACTAGAGTTGATCTAGGAATTATTTTTTTAAATTCTTTTTTAGGTCTTTTAATATCAACAAAATAGCAAATCAGGCTGTGGAAGAAATTCTTAAGATTGGTGAGTTTCTAATGACATGCTCATCATTGAAAATGATGTAAAGAAATGTCTAGAGTATTGACTAATTTAATCTGAACTTGACATAGTCTAAAAGTACATTGTCTTTCTTCAAGACTAAATATCACTTATATATCGATAACACCATTTTGAAATGCTACCAAAATGATATAAAAGTTATATCCCTGTTAAAACTGTGCTTATATTGTAGGAGACTAATATCTGTAACAGAAAATAAGTTGAACACTTGTAAGACTTGAAAAGCTTTTAAAGAACTGTAGATGGCTTTAGAAAATAAAGTCTGTATTTTATTATATTTTTTATTAAACCAAACCAGATTATTTTGCTTAACAAATAATCTTGAATCAGAACAAAAGATGTATTTTGGGAAACTGCCCTTAAATTTATCAAGGGTGGGAAACCTATTGTTTCCCCATTTTCCTATTTATAACCATCATAAATATTTACTTTTGATTTAGATGAGATTATCCTATAAAAGTGGCAGTATATTTTGTATGTATTTCCCTTATTGTTTGGTCAGGTGCTGGTCAGAAATGGAAGTGTCTTTTAGAATTCTGTTTCTTTTTTTTGTAAGAGTAACTGAGTATTGTTCTTTGTCACATGTTGTCTAGCAAATGCAAATACAAAATATAATTTTCTATAACAAACAATTTTCTTTTGGTTTAATAGCTAAAAGTTATGAGAATTTAAAGCTTCCATTGAACAAGGAACTAATACAGAAAGGTGAGGCCTATTTTTAGCATATTTAAACGTTGTGGTTTACCAATTTGTTTTCTTCTTCCATTTTGCTCAGGATTTCAGAGTTACAGAAATAATCAACATTATTTCATGCATTTAACTTACAAGCATTAATATAATGCATTAATTTAGAGGGTTTTACATCTGTAAGTAAAAATGGGCAGTGCTAGGCTTCAAGATGGCAGCCAGCAGCCCAGATTCAAAACCCGAGTGCCATGTGATGGGATGAGCTTCTGTTCTTGCTCCAGCTTCTGCCAACCTTCGAAAGCATAGTACAACGGGAAGATAACAGCGCTCCATGACGTGATTGTCAGGGTTCCAAGCAATGTCACCACCATCACCAAAGTGATGTCACTAGGCAACCTGAGAGCACCTTGATTGGACCATGTGACTGTGATGCTGGCCACATGACCACAGAAATGGTTTTGGACAGCACTGTCTAAGTGGCCTTGAAACGGAGATGAGCACCACCCTCTATAGTCAGCAACGACTAGCAGACTAAAATTTACAGGGACTCCTCTTTACATTTGTAAATAGAAATCAAATAAATTGAATGTAGATCAAGCGCTTCTTCAAATATGTCATATTTCCACAATCTCTGATGGGACAGGCTAACATAACATTTAGTAATTTACAAAATAACAGATATAAACAAGTTAATTTCCACAAGATTTTAAGAATAATCTCCACAAGCTTTTCACAGCTTTTCTGTGTTACATAAAATCAGAAAGCTTAAGTTCGAAAGTACTCTCTGTCTTTTTTTCTTTTATTTTTTGTGTCAATCTGTCCAATGGTTGGATAGTAGAGGTAGAAATTAGGAGAGGGGAAAGTATTATAATATATAAATAAATTGACCCAGACAATACGCTGTTCATTAAGCACTTATGTATGTAATGTGAAAATATATAAATAAACTGTTTAAAAAAAATCAGAAAACTATATAAAAAAAGATGATTTGGCACTAACTCTTAGTGCGCTACTTAAAAGAACCTGATTGATTGTCTTCTGCTTTTTCAGTAACAAATGGATATAATGAATCACTGCTCTATAGTCCAGAGGAACCCAGGTTGTTTTTTAGTATACGAGAACCCATTTCAAACCGTGTTTTTTCAAGTAGTCGGCAACGAGGCTTTGCTTCAAAGTAAGTATTAATAGTAAGTGTTTATCTAACTATAATTTGAGCAGCAGCTATTTTAGATTCAGGTCTGGAAGGTAATTGCTTTCAGTTGATCTCTAGGTCATTGAATGCAATATAGGAATCTGAATTTTAATTTGGAAATCCAAAACTGATTCTTTATTAACTATTAAAATCAGTAAGACAGGATAGTAGTTCTGACCAATACCAAATATATATATATATATATATATTGAGTTTACATTAGTGTAAATATAGCACCTGTTTGCAACTTTTAAAAATAAAGCAGATGCATCTTTTATTGGATCACGTGGAGCTGCAGGAGGTAGCTCCACAAACCATGGAAAAGATTTAGCTGCTTTAAAAAGCTTACAGACAAGTGCTATATTCGTTCTCTTGTGCCCATTGATGATCAGTTTTGGAATTGAATGCAAAGTGCATTCAGCAAATTGTTATCACTTTATAAGTATAAGAAATGAAAGAAATTTGCAGGCATTGTAGACCTTCACAAAGGGCACTTTTTATCAAAAAGCAAAATATAGTTGACTTAAATGAGAGCAAACAAGAAAAATGCATCAAAGGTTATTTCTTCCAGTGGAAACAAAACTAATAGCCGTTAAAGTTTTTTAAAAAGTATGTCCTTCAAAATGACAATGGGTTTTGTAAAAATAGTATTATAATCTTGGTCAATTAAGTGCGTCTTTTCAATTTACAGGAAAAAGTATGTTCTGAAGAAATTTTCTTTTATAATTGAGTACGGTTCTCGTTTCTCTTGGGGCTTGCTTGTTTTTGTAATACTACAGAATTTTGAAATCCTCCCTCAAGAATGTCTCTCAACCTGAATCTTTTCTTAGGCATTCCTAACTGTAACAAAACCAGAAGTTCAGTAGAAGACTTTCCATTACAGGTAGTCCTTGACTTATGACCACAATTGAGCCTAAAATTTCTCTTGCTAAGCGAGACATTTTTAAAGTGACTTTTGCCCCATTTTACGACCTTTCTTGCTCAAGTTGTTAAGTGAATCACTGCAGTTGTTAAATTAGTAACAGGGTTAAGTGAATCTGGCTTCCTCATTGATTTTTCTTGTCAAAAGCTTGCAGAAGGAGATTACATAACCCTGAGATACTGCAGCCATTACAAATACAAGTCAGTTGTCAAGCCTCTGAATTTTGATCATGTGACCATGGGGATGTCGCAACCATTATAAGTATGAAAAATGGTCATAAATCACTTTTTTCATTGATGTTATAACTTCAAATGGTTATTAAATTAAGTGTTATAAGTTGAGGGCTCTCTGTAGTTTAGCAACATCATTCCATCCCCCAGATTAAATGACCACATTATTCCATTTTAACGTCTTATCAAGTATGTGTTGCTTCTAATCTGTATTCTATGCATTTGAAATTATTCACTTGATTATTTGTCAGAAATATTTTTCTTTAATGTATTTTCAGAGTTTGCATTCGCTCTCGTTGTTGGGATGCCTGTATGGTAGTAGATGGAGGAACTTCATTTGAATTTAATGATGGAGCAATAGCATCAATATTAATCAATACAGAAGATGCCCTGCGTACTGTTTTGTTAGAAGACTGAAGATGCCATTGAGAGTATTCAAAATTCTTCACAAAGAAATGAGATGGCATCAATTCAAATGTGAAATAGCTCTTTACAGATATTTGGGAAACAAAGATTGAAATGACTTCTTTTTTTGCTTCTGAATGAGAAACTCCTGGAAAAATCAGTGTTTTGCCATTTATTGCATCTTGTAATATGAAATATAATTGGTTTGTATCTCAGACCAACAAAATTATTGGCCCTTAAAAGCTTGATTCCACAGAATGCTTTTTAAATGAAGGTGGAGTCAAATACAATTGGTATTAATATTAAATTGTAAACTTCAATGGAGGTAGTATACTACTGATTCAGCAAAATACCTTGGAACTCTTTCAGTTTTTAAAGCAAATAATATAAAAGTTAATATAAAAATGTTTGATCATACTTCAGTGTGATATCCAAGAATTTTTAATCATACTTTTGTATTCAGAAAGAACTTCAATTTTTTTAATCCTGCATGTTTGAAGTAGGATTCGTTACTGTTCTTCTATTACAGTCTAATATTCATACTTCTATCCACAAACCATGTTTCTATTTACCATTGCCTTTCTTGTATCGTACCAAACTGGTTATTGAATTCCCAGTATTCCCCCATCCTATACGAGCACCAAGCATGTAGACTTAAATATAATTAACTGGCCTGCTTGTGCTTTGGATAGGCCTATCACAAGCAGAAATAATGATGCAGCTGAGGGTTGGCTAGCTTAATTGTTTGTTCTACTCCCAAGGACAGGTGCTCCACTAAGTAGGTCCTAAGATAGCAAAATATACAATATCATTCCTTAAAAAGTTAACTGTGTATTTGTGTTAGGAGTATAATAATCTTTACCTATCAAGTGCAGAAATATTCATGCATTTTGAAAACTACTTTGCAGTCTCTAAAGCATATGTATGAACAGTTCCAAGATAATGGGAACATTTTGTTCACAATAGTGTATGAAACCCAATATTATACAAACAAGTCCAACAGTGTTTTTCCACTCAGGGATAGAATCTTCTCCTTTGCATTCCTCCCAAATCATTTCTAAAAGTTTCCCCTAGTCCCCAAGAACTTTGTGCCTGGGAGGTGCAGAATGGAGAGATTTATTTGACTCTTTCCTAGTTCTATCCATAGAAACTGTTTTTCATACAGAATTGAACTCCCCTCTTCACATTTTACTTGACAAGTTACAGAAGTGTGTGACCACTGCCAGCCTCTTTTCCTTTGTTTATTTCAGGTAGCTGTTGTATGCAAAAGTCTTTACAAAGATAGTATTCAGCTGTATATTAGTTTACATTACTTATACCAGGATACTTTGCAGATTGGCTGCCACTAAAAAGAATCATTCTTGCTGGTTTTAATGACATTTTGAAAATGTTACAGGATGCATTAGCTGCTTATATTTGAAATAATGATAATTAACCTGCAATGTGAGAGAAATAAATGATGAATCCCTTTTCTAATTACAAAGTATTGTAAATTATATCTCCAGGGCTTAACATGAAGAGTTAAGAAAATTGAAAATCAGTTTTACAAAGGTTGTGTTGAATTTGCAATATCAAAGATCATAAACCCTTTAAAAGACAAAAGTAACAGTGGGGGGGGGACACTGAAATATATATGTCAGGCTTTTATCATGGAAAGCTTCTAAGTCTTTCAGTGAAAATGTGAGATTATCTGTTTACATGACTGTGACTTTAGCTATTGGGAAGCTGAAATGGACTATTTCAAGTAAATATCTTTAAAACACGAGCGAAATAAAACCAAGATGGATATGCTCTGTAATTGAAATTAAGGAAGATGTAAAATGGGTTCTATGTACTCAGTGTTTGTTTTGTGATCTTCAGGTTCTAAAGTTGGCATTGTTAATTTGGGAGTAATTTAACATGAATATGTTTTTCTTCCCCAGCATGCTGAACTATCTGTGTCTAACTCTTGGTTGTCTCTGGTGGGTTTCCACAGCAGAAGTATATGGAATGTTGAGGCCATACCAACATCTGCCTTGGATTGTGACTGTTCACAAAATGCTGCCTTGATAACCTTAACCAATCATTTACAAGAAGGCAAACTGACCCAAGTTTCTTGTGGAGGTGTATAGACATTTCTAAGGAAACACTTGGCTGCAATTGCACACTTTCCAGATTGCTTATGTGACTCTGTGCTAAGAGTATGTAAAGATGATAGTCAAGGTTGACTCTTTGCTTTGCAACTTTTCTTGGTGTCTCTTTTATTAAAAACAAAAAATTAAACCAGCCGGAATTGAGTGCTAAGGGAGAGGCCCACGGCAGAATCTTGATAGGACTTAATATCTAAATGGTACTGTGTTCTCATCGCAAGTGGATCATCATGTTGAAAATTTATGTCCCATTTTCTTAAATTATGCGTGATGAAAGGTTAAGAATAGTACTGTTGTCCATTAAATAAAAAGACAATAAAAGATCCAAGGAGCTGTCCTTTGAAATGATGTGATCTAAAATTTGGGTTTTACTTGCTATTTTGTATAGCAGTGTTCTTAGATGCCTTTTTAAAGAAAAAGCAGAGGATATCAGTGGGCTTTTGGAGTCCTGCCAAAAATTAAAAAATCGTGTTCTTTGGGAATAAGCAAACATCCTTCCTTATCATCTGGCTCATGCCATCTGGGCCAGGAACTGACATTTTGGGGAATACAAAATCTACAAATGTCAAACCTGTCTGATATCACATCAGTGTCTATTCCACAAGGGTGCTCTCGGGTTCATTTTATCTGTCCCCCTACTGGCCAGTCAAGCAGCAGTGGGAAGGGCTTGTGAACTGTAGGCAATTAGCATTTAGACTCTAGTAGATTTTGAAAGGGTCAACTTTTATTTTCAGTCACATTTTGAGAGGATAAAAAATGTTTCTGTGTTTGCACAGTATGCCTTACCAAGGAAAGGTGCTTGTGGGCTACAGAAAACTCTCTCGTAATCTTCAACTTGCTGACATTTTGGATCTTCCTAATGATGCAATTAAACGTGCTAAATGCATTTTTTTTTAAATGAGCATCAAAGAAACAATTGAGAGACAAACTATAGATTTTCTGGCCATGATAATTAACAGTAATGAAAATAGGGTGGAAACAAGACAGTCTTTAAAAAGATTTATCTTAAGAACATGCCTTTAAGCCAAAATTTCTTTTAAAAAGCAAACATTGCTGTGTCAAAAATAGTTGAATGTGCACAAATTAAACTCAATACAACTATGCCTTTTTTCAAAATTGTTTTATTTAAAATAATGTATGCTGTGGTTAGTAAATTAATAAATGAATTTTTCTTGCTTTTTTAACTGCTTTGTATGTCACTAACATTTACCATAACAGGAAATACATTTTAGAATGTTAAATCTTTGCACTTAGAATATTACATAATCCGTGCACATCTTTATAAAATCTTGTAGATAATAGGACTTAATTTTCTTCTTAAATATTGTACTGTTAGGGCCACAAGAGAATTAGGAAAAAGGATATGTCATAGTAATTTCTCATAGTGCATTTAGAACTAATGCAACTATATTTGCCCTTTGAGTCTTTCATGTAGCAAAATTAATATCCTATTTCATGAAAAAAATCAGGTTGCAATTATGTTTTACTCCTTGGATTTCCCTTATTGGTTTTCTCTTTTAAGGGCAATTTAGTTATATTTTAACTAGACACTTTTATTTTGCTACTATTTTCTCAGCAGAAAAAAAAATCAGGTGTGCAGGGAAACATGCAGACTTTGAAAAACACATTTTTATGATTTGGTTATAAGTTATTTTTAATGTTTTGACAAGATGGTCAATAACAGCAGGATTCGGATGTGTTTATTTGTATTATGCCTTTACTTTTTAATTTGCATTCCTATATGTAGTACTGACAGTCCTCTATTAATTTCCTGTTCATTGTCTAAACTTAAAATGGTGTTGAACAAATGGTGGTTATGGTCAGCCATCCTACTAGCCCTGCTATCAAGTGATCGTGATCTAGGTCCTTGGCAACCAACTTCTTGTGGTGTCATGCAATAACATGATTACAATTTGCACTTTCCCTGCTGGCTTCCCACAAGTAAATTCAGTGGGGAAGCCAGCAGAGAATGTTGCAAGTTACTCCAGCAAGTATACCCGTCTGCACTTTCCCCCAGCCCCTCCGTATTCGACCCAAGCTTTACTGGCTAACTGTGCTTGTGCTGTGCCTGTCCAGTCATCCACATATTACGCCACTCCCTGTCTCACCCAGCGACAGCCACTTACCGTCGGCCAATCTGCTTGTGATTCCCCTGGGACTTACCCCTTCCTGCCAACTAGCCCACTGACTTTGCTTGTGGGAAGCCGTCAGGAAGTTGCAAGAGGTGCTCACTTAATGAACCACAATCTTCGCTTAACAGAGGCAATAAGGTCTGCAGCAGTGGGGAAATGTAAAATTTGTTACTACCGGTTCTGTGGGCGTGGCTTGGTGGAGGGTGTAATATGACTAAGAGGCATGGCCATTTTTTTTTAACTTTTAAAACCATTTTTTCTACAACCTCTGGCTGAAGAGGTTGTAAAAAAATGCTTGTAAAAGCCTCTGACGATCCCAGTTGACTTGCCTGATCGGCAGAGGCTTTGTTTTTACTTTTAAAAGCATTTTTTTCGGCTGAAGAGGTTGTAGAAAAAATGCTTTTAAAAATAAAATAAAAAGCCTCTGATGATTGCGCAGCTCAGCTGGGCATGGGGGTGGGGAGGGATTTTTGCTACCGGTTCTCCAAACCACCTGCCATCGCTAGCGGATTAGGCGATCTGGTCCGAACCAGGAGCATTTCACCCCTGGTCTGCAGGGGTCGCCATTGCTAAGCAATGCAATCACGTGACATTGTGCTGTACAATAACATCACTTAGCTTTGGAAATTCATCCCAAATGCTATTATAAGGGATATCTGTAACAATTAGCGACATTTAGCTATGTTGGTTGTATTCAATGAACATTGAGATACAAGACCAGAAATTCCAGGGCTGTGATCTAAATGGAGAATTAAACTATGATGTTTCCAGGAGCTGTGAGATAAAGGCCAGAATCTTAAGTATATCAGCACGAATACGTCCTACTCCCTGCAACAACAACAACAACAACTGGCATGGATAAAACAGAGAATATGAACATTTGGACAAGTTTTATTAACTAGAGCTACTTTTTAAAAAAATATATATTTCCACAAGGAGAGCTTGCATATTGCATGGCAACTATTTGTGCATGATTACCGTTTCTTGGATAGGCCTCAGTATAAGTCGTGGAACATTAAAAAAAATACAACTTGTAAAATACTTGATAGCATTTGGTCATAAACTGATAAAACCAGGTCAGTAACTGCAAATTGTGAGATTAAAACGGAATGCCAAGAATTCCACAGTGAAGACTTGAGGAACTCATGTTGCTGTTGGTAGAAGTCAGAGTCTTTCGAGATGTATTAAACCCCAGCCAGATTTCTCAAGTTCAGTCTGCATTGGATTCCCCAAATCTCTTGGTTTTTTTTGCAGCCAATGGTGGGCCTTGCAATAGGTGAAAAATAGGAGGTATTGATCTTTATATGAGGAAGCGTCACCTTTAAGAGCTGTAGGGAATTGGCAGTCACTATTCCAAAAACTTGCAGTGTTTTGAGCGTAGCAATTTCACCAAGTTCACTAAAAGAAAAAATACAACAAAATAATTCCTTTAATTTAGCTAGTGTGATTTTTCATGTGTTTAGTACTGAATGATTGGCAGCACACCTCATAGTTGTGACTTAGCTATTCTCTAAATTCAAGGGCATGTTGAAAACCCTGTAATAATTTAATACTCCTGTACATTCTAGAAGTACTAAGTTGTTTGCAAAAGTGTTCATTCCAATATCCATTTAGATGTGGGACTCCGGGCAGTTTACAACATTAAAAAATTTAAAGGACCCATCATATAATAAAACCGTTAAAAAATAAATTAGCTACTTGATTAGCTACTCTATTTCCATTTCCATCAGCTCTGAAGAAGCTTCTTGGATGTGAAGCGAAATGTCTTCAAAGAAAAAAAAACTTGAAAAGTCCATCTGCCTCTTGAAAAAGCACCTTAGAAGCTTCTTGGATGAGAAATGAAACATCTTCGAAAGAAAGAAAAAAACCCAGAAAGTCCAGCTGCCTCTTGAAAAAACACCTTTGGGACAAGAACAACAAATATACTCGAGTAGGACCATGCACACACTCTAGAGCAGGGGTGAAATGCTCCCGGTTCGGACCGATCACCCGATCCGGTAGCGATGGCGGTAGGTGGTTCGGAGAACTGGTAGCAAAAGTCCCTCCCCCCCCATTACCCAGCTGAGCCTCGCAATCATCAGAGGCTTTTTTTTATTTTTAAAAGCATTTTTTCTACAACCTCTTTGGCCGAAAAAATGCTTTTAAAAGTAAAAAAAAAAGCCTCTGATGATCGCGCAGCTCAGCTGGGATCGTCAGAGGCTTTAAAGCCATTTTTTTAACAACCTCTTCAGCTGAAGAGGTTGTAGAAAAAATGGTTTTAAAAGTTAAAAAAAAAAAGCTGGCCACGCCCACTCAGTCATATTAACCCCCCACTAAGCCACGCCCACAGAACCGGTAGTAACAAATTTTACATTTCACACTGTTCTAGAGGATTCCAAATAGAAGTGTTGGATCTTATGGGTGCTTGGTCCAAAGTACATATTTCAAAACATTTTCAAAGCGTGCACAGCCCCATCCTTGAGTAAAGGTAGCATTTAGTCAGTTTCTCACAAATATCCTTCCCCTTTTTTATATTGTACCCCATCCAGCATTTCCAGGTTAGAAATTGTTAGTTGTATGTTTCTAGAATGCGCAAAGGGAGGAACCTAGGCATTCCAGCTGATGTTTTTTTCACCTTTCTGCCCATTTCTCAAGCCAATGTATCCTTCCAACTAAGGCATAAAGAATTACGGCTATCATAAAAATATACTGAGTCGATGACAATGGCAGAAGAAATTAAAGTCCTCGTTTTGAAAGGAGGATCAATATATAGTAATTAAATGGTTTAAAATGCAATGAGCGAGCAAAGGAAGAAGGCATACATTGAAAAATCAGTGTGTAATATTTATAAAGAGCGCTCTGTATCTGCTCTTAAAATCTTAAACTTGAAAAAAACCTTTCTTGGTACCAAGAACAGGATTTTGTTTTGTTTTTAAAGAACACCACACATCACAAAGCACAAAAAAGTGCCACTTGAATAAAGCTAAAAGAGCTTGTAACAATCACATAGCATTTTTTAAAAACGACAATAACTTATCACAATTGTTTACGTTCACAAGGAAACACTATGCAGTACAACATTTCACCTGTAGTAGCTTGCAAAAACTTAGCTTTTTTTTTTTTTTTTAAATTGATTTATATGCCGTCCTTCTCCGGAGACTCAGGGCGGCTTACAATGCGTTAAGCAATAGCCTTCATACTTTTGTATATTTATACAAGGTCATCTTATTGCCCCCACAAACTGGGTCCTCAATTTACCAACCTTAGAAAGGATGGAAGGTTGAATCAACCTTGAGCCTGGTGAGATTCGAACTTACAGTAATTGCTGACAGCTGCTGTTAATCACAATGTTATCAGTCTGCTGAGCCACCAGGCCTCAAGCTTTTGCTTGAGTAGCTCTCAATTTTAGCACAAAAAACAATTGGATATCAAAAATTACTTACAGTAAAGCAGAGGGAGGTATTTGATAGCATCGACTAAGACTTAGGTGTTCAAGGTGTTTGAGTTGGTGGAAGCAAGCAAAGCATTCAGGCTTCAACATAACACTGTCGCTGTAACGCAAGTATTTAAGAAAAAAATATTTTGCATTTATTTAAGATTGAGCGTCTTTATAAAAATAAAACTTATATTTTATTTAATTCTGGATGTGCATATTCAAGTCTTCCACTTGACTAAGTACTTGTGATGGAATGCAGGATTCCCAGAAGGGAGGGAGTGCATTCCAGAGGCAGCTCAGTCCAGATTCTGTGTGAGAGAAAGAAGGTGAAGACAGCTCCTCCCTAATGGTTCTCAGAGTATATGCTTGATGTACATAATAAGATGCTTCAGTTTGGCAAGATGCCAGAGCGAAGGTCGCAGCCGGACCCGACAGTCAGCCCTGAGGCCATCGTTTACTTTGGATCTTCAGGGCTGCCACATTTAGTGCTGCGGGAAACTGGGAGGGAAGATGGAGTGGAAAGATATCTAGCCATAATAACATTCTTTTCTTTGAGAGTCAAGGACATCCTGCCCTCACCTGGATTGGTGTGACTGGGAGGCATCTTCAGTTGGGAAGGTGTATTAATTGGACCATGTGATGGACATATGGGTGCTGGGGCAGGGACTTGCAATTTCTGTTGGGTGGGGAAAACCTGGAAGCTCTCAGATTCGGGTTTTCCCAATATGTGCCAATATGACATCTCTAATAAAATGGAACTTTGAGGAACTTCTAGCCTCGCAGTCTTCTTTCGTTGGAGGTGTTACTTGGAACCCTGACATTAACCCAAAGCTCCTCTAAAACTTTAACCCCCCCCCTGCCCCCGGGGGGGGGGGGGTCTGTGTGTGCTGTCCAGGGTCCTGAGTCCCAAATGCCAACTCAACACCCTGTGGCATGAAGACTCAGGGAAGATTTGGGGGGGGAGGGGGGAGAGATACAAGGTTTATTTACAGTTGTGGCAGATACCTAACAAGCAATGGGTAATTTAGTTGGAAGGGCCAATTCAGAATAGTATACTTTTAATACAGATTTAAGCACTTAAATGTATTATTATCCAATATTAATCTATTGCTTATACATGGCATATGATGCATTTTAATTCATTCTATCATATTGTTTTTTTATTAAAAGCACAAAGCTTTCAAAGATGCAGACTAGTATTCAATTGCACTACTTACCTTAAATCTAAATGGATTAGACCAGAGCATCTCTCTAGTAATGTTTTAACATCTGAAAATGAAAAATGAAATATAATCTGTCATTCATACCTACTCAATGGCACTGTCCAGTATATGACCTTACAACAATGCCATAAATTACTTGGGTCAGAAATATATTTTCTACTAGGATTTGAAAAGGCTACTTTAGTTTTAACACATTTTTTCATACTAGAAAACACAACATCCACAGATAAACCTGTTCATTTAGTGACCGAAGTTATAATGGCACTGAAAAGTGACTTATGATTGTTTTTCACTTGTGACTATTGCAGCATCCTCCTAGTCACATGATCAAAATTCAGACACTTGGCAATTGATTCATATTTATGACAATTGCAGTGTTGTGGGGTCATGTGCTCCCTTTTTGCGACAAGCAAAGTCTATGTCAAATTCATTAGCAACCATGTTACTAAAGAACTACAATGATTCAGTTAACCGCAGCAAGAAAGATCATAAAACGAGGCAAAAGATCACTTAACAAATGTTTCACTTAGCAACAGAAATATTGGGCTCAATTATGGTAGCAAGTTGAGGATACAGTCAGTCTCAGTAATTTTCACTGCAATGGAAGCACCAATGCAATATTACTGTATTTTTCGAGTATAAGACGCACCTTAGTTTTTGGGGAGGAAAATAAGAAAAAAGCTGATTGGCAGGTGTAATACCCCCAATCAGCTATTCCCAGAGGTGAATTTTAGCAACAGGTTCCTTGGTTGTAAGCTCTGTGCCTTGCTTTTTTTTCTGCCTCTGAAACTTCTGAAACAGAGCTTCAGAAAAAAAAAGCCTCTGAAGCTCTGTTTGGGGGCTTTTTTTCTGAAGCTTCGTTTCTGATGCTTTTTTCAGCCTCTGAAACCTCCGTTTGAGAAGCTGGGCGGGGCTACATTCGGAGTATAAGACGCACCCAGATTTTCACCCTCTTTTTTGGGGGAAAAAAGATGCGTCTTAAACTTCGAAAAATATGGTATCTTGCGAAACCAGGCGGATGATGTTTAATGCCGTTAAAAGGTATTGTAAAAGGATGTAAAATATTCCAAGTAAAACTGCCTTTTGCAATTGACAGATGGTAATTTTGTCAATGTGATTGAGTTCAAGTGAAATTATTATATAGACCAAAAAAAAAAAAAAATGGAAATCATAGCTGTTGCTGGCCTTTATATGCATTGAGTTTTTCCCCAAGAATGTGAGAGCTTGTACTGTATTGGTACAGTATATGTGGGAATCCAAAAGTAAACCATAGTACCCTGTTTCCCCCAAAATAAAACATCCCCTGATAATAAGCCCAATCGGGCTTTTGAGCGCATGGCAATAAGACCAAGTGCTTATTTTCAGGGTTCAAAAAAATATAAGACAGGGTCTTATTTTTGGGGAATCACTGTATTTATTCTAAATGTGGTAGAAGTTGGATTAAAGCAGTATCCAAGTCTCAGCACAGGTTCGGATTCTGAAAATTTTGTTGACATTAGCGCTATACCTGGCTTTGAGAGGCATGTCAAACCACATTACAAAAAGCATATTAAAATTTCTTTACCAGGTGGTTTTAAGATTTTAAGGAGAAAAATGGGTGTGTAACCAAACTCCTGTTCAATTACAATGGAATCCCCCCCCCCAACCCAAATTATCACAAGAGGAATGGTGTAGGTTACCTGAATCCACTGTTTCAAAAGAAAACTCACCTGGGATCAGGAGATTCTGCCTGTATCCACTAAGGTTCAATTGCAATAGTTTGGAAGGAACATGACTGACTACGATCTTCAAATGCTCAGCTGTGAAGTCACACCAGCCTAAATTCAATTCTTCTAACCTAAATTGAGAAGGAATACATTCTAATAATTATCTACCAATTATAGTATGCCTCCCAAAATCACCTGTCATGAGATATAAATTTGATGAATACATATCAACTGAGTTTTGAAAGCATCAAAATATCTAGAAATTGTATAAAAATACAAATGTAAAACACTTCTAATTTGAAATTCGAACATATAATGTCTCACCTTCATTTAATTTTTTATACAACGAAACACTATGGCACTGAAGGCCAGTAGATTCAGAAGTAAAAAAGAAAAATCAATCACAATACATTAGTTTCACTCGCTGTGCTAAGCCATAATTTAATGTAGGTTTGTTAAACCAGAATGCTGGCTTCACTAACTGCATTGAATTGTGGCTACATCCTACAACAACTGGGTTCAAATTAACATGCTAAACTAAATTCAAATAAACACTACAGATTAGCAAGATATGTGAACCCAGTTTTTATGTATAAAATTTGTTGTTCTCCATAACAGCATTTCTATTAGCAGAACTGGGCTGTGATGGATTTTTAAATATTTTAGTTCTTCTAATGTCCCTGAAATCTATTGTGGGGTTTTGGGCAACCTTTAACCAAGAGGGAAAGCAGCACCAGGTCTGCAGAAAAAGAGAAAATTGGCAAATATCTTAGAGGAAATTCCACAGCCATCCCATTTGGTACCATGGTGTAAAAAATGATACAACTTGATCTATGGCTTCCCTTACACATCATCCACACCTAGCTACTTGTGCTACTTCTTTTTATTCCAAGATATTTTTTGTTATGCATCATATTTATTAGTTTCTTTCACCTGTGCACAACTCAACATGTGAATGCCTAGATGACCATTCAACCCCACAGCAACTTATCCCTCTAACCTGAACTCCGGATTGTTATTAAGAGTTTCCATCAACAAATCCAGTTTAGAATATTTAACACTAGTGCTAAATTCAAGGTAATCTCTCATGTAAATCATATTACCTTGGACAGCTTTTCAACAACACTTCCACAGTATCTGCAGAGAATCCAGAACATCCGGATAAGTTTAGCCGGACCAAATTGGGGTTTTGTGCTATACTTCTAAAAAGAGAAAGAGAAAACCACCTTTTATGTCCTTACCCTCAAAATAAACAGAAAATTTTAAAATATTGCTTCTTGATTAATGAGTTATTATTGATCTACTACTAAAAAGTTTGTTAAGTTGATGAATGGACAGATCAATTCTATAGAGAAGGACAAGGAAGTAATGGAGGTAGAAAAAAGGATTCCATAAAACTCTTTTGGCACAGGTTACAGGACAGAAGATGAATACAGATAATCCTTGCTTAATGACTTCCTTGTTTAATGACTGTTTGAAGTAACAGTGGACCTGAAAAAGTAATTTTATGACCTGACCTTGCGTGTCACAACATTCCCGCAGTCATGTGATTAAGATTTGGGAGTAACTGGGTAGGCATTTACAATTGCAGCTGTACGATTGCCATTTGCACACTACACAACCAGTTTCCAAAAAGTTAATGGAGAAACCGGCAGTAAACTCACAAGTCGTGGTCACATAATGTCCGATTTAACAACCATGTCCCTTGGTCATAAAGAGTTGCCAGTCTCAATTGAGGTCATTAAGCAAGTACTAAAAAGGTAAAGGTAAAGATTCCACGCGCATATATGTGCTAGTCATTCCTGACTCTAGGGGGTGGTGCTCATCTCCGTTTCTAAGCCAAAGAGCCAGAGCTGCCCGAAGACGTCTCCGTGGTCATGTGGCTGGCATGACTCCACGCCGAAGGCGCATGCAACGTTGTTATCTTCCCACCAAAGGTGGTCCCTATTTTTCTACTTGCATTTTTTACGTGCTTTCTGCTAGGTTGGCAGAAGCTGGGACAAGTAACGGGAGCTCACTCCGTTATGCGGCACTAGGGATTCAAACCGCCAAGCTGCTGACTTTTCTGATCGACAAGCTCAGTTCCTTAGCCACTGAGCTACTGCATCCCCTCAAGCAAGGACTACCTGTATGCAAAAATTGTTTAATTTTTGATTCTGCAGCTGAGCTGGGGACTATTTTATTTCTTATATTTTTTATCACTGACACAAAGCGGAAGGAAATAAACTGATGAGGAGGTAAACACAATACTTCCTGTGATTTACAGCTGAGGGGCACAGGATCTTCAATAGTTCTGTGAATCTGCAAAGCTCGGAGGCTCCAACTGGTCCAGAATGCGGCCGCGCGGGTGGTTATGGGCGCAACCCGTTGTGCCCATGTGACACCCCTCCTGCGCGAGCTGCACTGGCTCCCAGTGGTCTTCCGGGTGCGATTCAAGGTGTTGGTTACCACCTTTAAAGCGCTCCATGGCATAGGACCCGGGTACCTCCGAGACCGTCTTCTGCCACCAATAGCCTCCCACCGACCAGTTCGCTCCCACAGAGAGGGTCTCCTCCGGGTGCCATCGGCCAAGTTATGTCGGCTGGCGACACCTGGGGGAGGGCCTTCTGTGGGAGCCCCAGCCCTGTGGAACGAACTGCCCCCGGAAATTCGTAAGATCTCCGACCTCCGGGTGTTTCGCTGCGCACTGAAGACCCTGTTGTTCCGCCAGGCCGGACTATCAACATAATAATTTTAAATTGGGGTATTTAAATTTTTGGGGGTTTTAAATCTGAGCCAATTTATTTAATTATTTTAAATTTTATATTGCTGTTTTGTCTGTGTTTTTAAATAGGCTGTACACCGCCCTGAGTCCTTCGGGAGAAGGGCGGTATAGAAATAAAATTATTATTATTATTATTATTATTATTATTATTATTATTATTATTATTTTGAGCCTGTCTCTACATACCTCCATCTTACGTTGTTATTATTATTTATAATAACCAGCCCACCTCCAAAGACTCTGGGAAAACTTACAACACCCAAAATATAATTTAAAATAAAAACACAACAAAGCATGATAAAGCAGTGGTCCCTAACCTATTGGCCACGGCCTATTAGTGGACCGTGAGGAGTTTGCAGCCAGGCTGTGGAAACGGCCGGTGAGTACGCATCCTCAGTGTGAGCAGTGGGTGAGCACACAACGTGCTTGAGCAAATGGATCTGTGCGTGCGCACACGCTTGCTGGCCACTCGCATGGAACCATCCCCTCTACCACCACCCCCGCGCCAGTCTACAAAGCTAGAAACATCGGGAACCCAGTTATAAAAGATAATAGTCCATAGAAATACAATCATAGCAATCAAAACCATGAGCTTCCACCAACACATGAACTCCAGGTCTGTGAACCGAGCAAGGACTCTGTCAAGGATTTCTTACGACTTTTTCTTCTTGAAGTCAGCATCAAAAACTGACACATTTTTTAATTGCTCACCTAACGATATCAGAAGAAAGTACGAGACCTTCTAGGCTGAGATTCTGCAGACTCTGGCATCTGCCAAGGATATCTTCGAGATCTAGAACATTTATTGTACAATTTGATAAATCCAGATGTTGCACACAAAGTGCCCTAAGAAAGAAAAGACAAGCAAGGGTGTGAGGAAAACAGTGGAATACAATTCTTTAAAACAAAACAAAACAAAACACAGTGCTAGCAAAATCATAGAATTGTTGAATTATATAGTTTAAGGCAGGGGTGTGAAACTCAAGGCCTGAGGGCCGGATCCGGCCTGCGTGATACCCAAATCTGGCCCGCAGGACCACCCTGGAAACAATGAAGGACCGGCCTGCAGTGCTTCTGCCAGTGAAAATGGAGCTCGGGAGGGCTGTGTGCAGCCCTCCCGAGTTCCATTTTCACTGGCAGAGGGTTGCAGGAGGCTGTGTCAGCCAAAAACGGAGCTCGAGAGTCCTCACTTAATGACCAGTCATTCTATGACAGTTCAACGTTACGATGGTGACAGAATGGGTACTTTACGGCCTGTAAAGAACCCCCCTCCCATCTGTCATAAATGGTTGCTCCACCCTCCCTTCATCATGTGATCGCAGATCAGGGGAGTCAGCTTTATGTTCCATAATCACATGACTGTGATTCGCGATTCCCCCCCCCCCCGTTTCCAACAAAAAACACCTATTCAAATGAATGGTTTCATTTAATGACCACGGTGTCCACTTAACAACTGAGGCATTTTTTTAATGACCACCACGAAAAGAATCTGAAAATTACTTCTGGTCAATGGGTGCCCCAATTTATGACTACAATGACTTACAACCATAATTCTCGGCTCAATTATGGTTGTAAATCAAGGAATAGCTGTATATATGAAGGCTAAATGATCCAAAACAAAGCATCAGTCTATAGCCACAATGTTATTTTGTTTTGTGCCTAACCACGCCCATCACGACAGCTTGTCTTTTCAGTAGACAACTCTACCAGAGTGAACATTTTTTGCTCTCAGCCAAAAAAAAAAGATTGTCTATTCACACATTGCACTGCACTGATGTCCAGTGCCAAAGTCTAGGTCAGCTGACAAAGTTTCCTAGTTCACTTGAAAATTGTCCTTTTCTTTTTGCAAAACATACAACAGAGTATTAGTAGTCAGACAGGAACTGTAAAAATAAAGGATATCGTCTCAGTTTGGTGTATTTACCTGCTTGTTTTAAACAAAGGTGTTGCAATGCAGGACCTTGGACAGCGGAAGGCGATCACTCCCAAGGGCAACAATTGGCCAATCACTCCTGGCAAAAGATTTTTACCTGCAAGATCAAGACTTTGCCAGAGCGACTCATCAAGCCTTAAAAAAAGAAGAAAAAAAAAAGGCGGGAAGGAATTAATTTAACAGCAATTGAAGCAAAAATATTAGCATAACTGAGGTGGTCATGAGCAGATTATTATACAATATTCATTAAAAAATCATAAAAATCAGCCACAATTCACTTAATCACCTTGCTTACCAATGCGAGTTCTGGTCGCAGTTGTGGTTGTAAGTTGACATACTGTACATGCATACAGGGGTGAAATCTAAATTTTTTTTCTACCAATTCTGTGAGTGTGGCTTGGGGGGGGTGTCCTGTGACTGAGTGGGCGTGGCCAATTCGATGTCACTCACAGCCACGCCCACTCAGTCACAAGACCCCCTCCCACCAAGCCACGCCCACAGAACCCGGTAGGAAAACTTTTTAAATTTCTATTCTGCCACCCACTCATCACCCGCTCTCTCTTCGCTTTGGGTCGGGGGCCAGGGCCCAGGGATGCGCCATTCCCTGGGGCCCTGGAGCCACCGCCTGCTCGCTGCCTGCCTCAACCAGGTCAGGGAATGCACCATTCCCCGATACCAGCCTTGCCCTGGAGCCGCTGCCCGCTCTCTCATCGCCAAGCGGCGTGTCCTTATCTTCTCCCCCGGCTGGCTGTCAGGGAAGGCAAGCGCCTGAAAGTTACCGGAGTCGCTCACTCTCCTTCTTGAATGTGCCGCCACCATCACCACCCTGGTCCACACGCTGGCTGCGCAAGCACACGCCCAACCTGCCACTGATGAGTGAATTAAATAAACGGTGTGCGCTTGTGCAGCTGGCGCATGGACCAGAGCAGCGATGGTGGCGGCACATTCAAGAAGGAGAGTGAGCGACTTCGGTAACTTTTGGGCGCTTGCCTTCCCTGACAGCCAGCCACGGGAGAAAGGTGAGCAGTAGGATACACCACGTGGCAAAGGGCGAACAGGCAGCGGCTCCAGGGCAGGGCTGGTATCGGGGAATGGTGCATTCCCCGACCTGGTTGAGGCAGGCGGCGAGCAGGCGGCGGCTCCGGGGTGGGTGGGTGGGCAGAGCCTCCAGCTGCCATTGCTACCAGTTCTCCGAACTACCGGCCATCATTGCTACCAGATCGGCTGCTCCGGTCCGATCCGGTAGCATTTCACCCCTGCATTCATATGTTTATACATATATGGGAAACAATGGTGTCAAGAAGTACAGACTCTATGAAAAGTGAATAAATATTATGTGCGTTGGGTAAAATCTGCACAGAACCTCATTTAAAAAAAACAGAGAGAGAGCCAAAGTGATAAATCTGTTCAGATCTGAGACAGAAAATATTACAACAATTCCGCAGCCTGCAATTAAAATTCCATCTCCAACAAAGATGATTAGGGGTCTGGAGGCTAAAACATATGAAGAACGGTTGCAGGAACTGGGCATGTCTAGTTTAATGAAAAGAAGGACTAGGGGAGACATGACAGCAGTGTTCCAATATCTCAGGGGTTGCCACAAAGAAGTGGGAGTCAAGTTATTCTTCAAAGCACCTGAGGGCAGGACAAGAAGCAATGGGTGGAAACTAATCAAGGAGAGAAGCAATTTAGAACTAAGGAGAAATTTCCTGCCAGTTAGAACAATTAATAAGTGGAACCACTTGCCTCCAGAAGTTGTGAATGCTCCAACACTGGAAATTTTAAAGAACAGATTAGATAACCATTTGTCTGAAGTGGTGTAGGGTTTCCTGGCTAAGCAGGGGGTTGGACTAGAAGACCTCCAAGGTCCCTTCCAACTCGGTTATTCTATTCTATTCTATTCTATTCTATTCTATTCTATTCTATTCTATTCTATTCTATTCTAAAATTCCATCCCAATATCATGCTATTATTTTTGAATGCGGTGTATTGTTGCCTCACGTATGACTAGTGAAACTCCTAAGTCACTGAATTCCTACTGAAATTAATAAATCATATCAATGCTCAATGGAAACCAATTTAGCAAACAGTGGAAAGGAGAATGCTTTTGTATATATACACTTTTATTTAGAAATCGACAGCCACTTACGAAAGGCGATGCCATCTCTGACAAACCTGGGAAACTTTCAGCAAATCGGTCAAGTTTAGATAGGAAAAGATTCCCAACAGCAGTTCATCTGGCAAAGTATCCCAAGAAATACCGGTACCTTTTGGGGATGAGAGGAAAGAATTATTATGAGTCAAGCTTGATGCTTCAAGATGTGTGGGTTTCCACATTCTGGAATGGAATTCTGAAAGTTGAAGTCCACACATTGAAGCTGCCAAGATTCAGAATTGGTTTAACTGGTCCATTGGCTGATAATCACATTTTTTCAGCATCTGTTGCCCTGGAAAGCCAGCTGGCCATCTCCAACTCATGGAGAACACTGTATTTCTTCCTTTCAGCAAAGTATGTACCTGGCACACAATTGTCTGAGGTGGTGTGGGTCATTCTACTATTAAAAAAGATGGATAAGAAATTTGAACCACCATTAATGATTCTCATTTTCATCTTAACAGATTCCACAAACCAATAAGAAGAAGCCTACTAGATTGGTGGTGTCCTGACTGGATGAGATATAGGAGGGGAGTGAAAAAGGAATAATCTATTCACAACTAGGGAGATACACCTGGTGGGACCTAGAAGAAGGGTCTTCTTCGTGGTGGCTCCCTCTCTCTGGAACATCATTCCCGCAGAGATTAGAATGGCCCCCACTCTTTGGTTCTGCCAGTGCGCCTGGGAAACCCAGAACAGGATAGAGCCCATAAAATGGCTCACATTTTTTTTTTTAATTTGATTTATATGCCACCCTTCTCCGGAGACTCAGGGTGGCTTAAAGTGCAATAGCCTTCATACTTTTGTATATTTATACAAAGTCAGTTTATTGCCCCCCACAAACTGGGTCCTCAATTTACCTACCTTAGAAAGGATGGAAGGCTGAGTCAACCTTGAGCCTGGCAAGATTCAAACTTACTTTAATTGCAGACAGCTGGTGTTACATTACAGTACTTTAGTCTGCAGAGCTATCCAGGCTCCTGGATATATGATGTGTTGTCGTTGCGAAGGGGGGGGTATTTTATTTTATTATATATGATTCTCTCTTTTATTGGTTTTATTGTTTTTTTATATATTTTTATATTCTTGTAAGCTGTCTTTAGTCGCCATGTGTGAATAGAGGGCAATATAAATCTCCTAAATAAATAAACTACAGGTGGGAGAAATGTCTGGTGCCTAACATGTTTTACTTTAGCATTGGGGAAAACAGTTTCAATTTTCTTGGGCTGCTCAATCTTAATTTGTTTTTATTATGCATATTGTGATTCTGCAGTAATTTATCCTTAAGTAGTATATGTTTCAAAACTATGAATGTTGAACTCTTAATGGTCAGGTTTTCAAAAATCTATTTTAGAGCGCCTATAAACATTGTTCATAAAACAAATTGAAGCACTGACCTCAAATCATTAATTTTGGATCTTACATGGTTTGAAACAAAAATCCACAGCAACACACCCATACAACAGAATCCAAAACAGCTTTCAACAATAAAAGTTTACAGAGTTCCATGTAACTCACTTCAAGGTAAATACAGTGGAACTGCAAACTAGTCTGAAAAAATGAAACATGGTATTCAGAAAATGGAACAGTTGAATGTTAGCCAGGGTATTAAATTACTAAATTAACTTGCCTTTTTCACAGGGTGGATAAAAATCAATGATTTTTTTTAAAAAAAATTTAAAAATCGGATTTTTTTGATTTAAATCGGATTTTTTTTATTTAAATCAGATTTTTTTTATTTTTATCGAATTTATTTTAATAAAAAACTTTTGGGGTAAAAATCTATCGTAAGACAGTTTTCTATTTAAGATACATAAATAATTTAGTTTATTCAGTATGAAATGGAGCTTAGTTATGCAGCATGAGGCTGTATATTCTGCAACACTGGGACTATCAGTGAGTCAACAGTGGGTCAAAGGAGTAGCAGAGATGACAGTTGCTCTTTAAAAATTATGATTTAAATCAAGTTGATTTAAATCAAGCCTTTTTACTAGTGATTTAAATCATGAGTTAAATCGTGATTTAAATCAACTCGATTTAAATCAAATCCACCCTGCTTTTTCAATATTCCCAACTGATAAATATATTTATCTGCAAATAGTGACTAATATAAATCTAATTTTGAAGAAGTGTGGTCAGCCAGTTTAAGAAATACCCTGCTCCAGTGGTGAAATCTGAACCGGTTTACTACCAGTTTGCTGGCTGTGCATGCGTGCTGCGTGTGCATATGTGCAGTGTGCACCAAATGCGAGGTGTGCGCATGCAGTGCACGCCAAAAGGAGGCATGGGGTAAATACAACATTGCGCCGGGGTGTGTGTGATCTTTTTTTTACTTTTAAAAGGATTTTTTAAAAGGAGCGGCAGGGGGGCGACCGGGGCAATGGGGGGGGGGGCATGGGAGCGGCGGGGAGGGATTTTTGCTACTGGTTCTCCAAACCACCCGCCGCCATCCCTACCGGATAGGCTGATCCGGTCCAAACCGGGAGCATTTCACCCCAGCCCTGCTCATACCCTGCAGTCAGTTAGTGTGCTGAATGAATTCAGTCACTCTGATTTGCAAATTATGGTTTACAGCAAGTCTGTTGTGTTACTTTAGGCAACTGTTTCTTGGCAACAAACCAAGATTAAGGAAAACTAATAGGTGAATCCAACAAATCAGCCTGCTTTTACAGTTAAAAAAAATTAAAATGCTACTATCAATTTGGACTTTATCATTATCCTAAGGTAGAATTTTGAATAGCTTTTTTTGGGGGGGCAAGAAAAGGTCTTACCTGCTACTATCTCTTGAAGCAGTCTAGGCTGGTGGATAATCAGAAATTTGCTTTCCCTCACTTTCTGCCGCTTGGTGGGTGGGCCCACACACATCAACAGATCCTGGGGGGTGTTCTCACTGTCCAGTTTAAGAGCAGACACTCCCATGCCTGCGAGGAGATCTGAAGTCTTGTTGGGATGCCAGGTCCATGGGACACTTGTAGTGATGTTGCTTCCCAAATCTGGAATTTCCTGAAGATGTCTCCTGCAAGGATACAAAGGCCTCACAGCTACCATTTTACATGCAACCCATAATAGCTCTTCAGCCAACACAGGAACAGAGACTTAATAGCAATAGCAATAGTACTTGGACTTATATACAGCACAGCACACATCAAAAAGAGGCTTGGAAAGGTAAGTAGAACAGCAAGGGGGAATCAGCTGTGCCGCACAATTTAGCCTCGCTAGAAAGTGAAGGATTTCCTGCTTTCTAGCAAGGCTAGATCGTGCGGCACAGCTGATTGTCAGAAATACTGATTCGGAGGAACCGGGGGAAAGCTTTTTTAACTACAGGTTCAACCGAACCAGTAGCTAACTATTGGCTCGCCCGAACCGGTAGTTTTTATCACTACCGATTTGCCTGAACCGGAGCAAACCGGTAGCATTTCACCACTGGTTTCACAGGGCTTTACTGCCCTCTCTAAGTGATTTAGAGTCAGCATATTGTCCCCCAACAATCTGGGTCCTCATTTGACCGACTTCAGAAGGATGGAAGGTTGAGTCAACTTTCAGCCACTCAGAATTTACACCTTTAAAAATTACACCTTTAAAAAATGATGCGAGAGGCACAGATAGTTGCTTTTTTTTTTTTTTTAATTTGATTTATATGCTGCCCTTCTCCGGAGACTCAGGGCGGCTTACAGTGCATTCAGCAATAGCCTTCATACTTTTGTATATTTATACAAAGTCAGCTTATTGCCCCCACAAACTGGGTCCTCATTTAACCTACCTTAGAAAGGATGGAAGGCTGAGTCAACCTTGAGCCTTGGAGAGATTCGAACCAGCAGTAAATTGCAGGCAGCTGTGTTAATAACAGGGTGCTTTAAACCACTGTAGTACCAAGGCTTCTCTTCCAGAAAACTGCTGAGGCCAGGGATTGTTCTATTCTGACAGGATTGGTCAAAGATTTCAATAATTGACAAGCATATCAATCTAGGAAGAATGATTTGTATGTGTGTGTGTGTGTTATGCAAGTTGGACATGCCCAAAATTATCTTGCTAGAAATTTAGCCTGCTAAGACTGTGTTTTGCTTGAATAGATCCTGTACTAGGAATTCACAAAGCAAGTAGCTGTTTTCCCAGAAAACTGCATAATTGGTACAATAAACACTGCCCTAGTAAGGCAGTGTCAATAACTGAAGTAGTTAAGACTCAGAATCATTATTATTATGGAAGAAGAGAGCTAAAAGTTCCAGATACGTTTATTCTTTACTTGACTGGGATGCCTTCATACATTACTATGTACATTACTACTAGTTCTTGATGTACAACTGTAATTGAATCTGGAATTACAGTCAAATGTTGTTCTGGTTGTTAAGATCTGCTTATGATCATGTTCAATTTTTTTTTTTTTTTTTGCAGCTGTCATTAAGCAAACACTGTGGTCCTAACGCAAACAGCATCATCATTAAGCAAACATTGTCATCAAGTAAAGTCACTGTTTGCAAAAGGTGATTATTGCCAGAAAGAGAAAGTAAATGCTGGTTTCCGACAAAAAAAAATAATTGTAAATTGCAGTCATCACCATGGACTGTTGCAAATGCCTGTAAATGCAGGCCAGTTGCTGAGCACTCAAAATTTGATCACTTGGCAGGGTGGGGGCAGCTGTTGGAACTTTGAACCTGATCACAAGTACCTTTTTTGGCATATGTTGTGATTTCAAATTTATTTTTTATTCAACATGTTGTATTGGAGTCAAACACTATAACTTAGAAAACAGGTATATTATTTAACAATATGAGTAAATCAAAATAATGGTGGCTTTCGAATAAACCGAGGCTTGCTGTGTGATGGATGAATTAAGCCAAGGAGATTCCCTACAACCAAAACAATACCATAAAAATACATACCAAGTACATAAATGTATTCTGTGGTAAGATGGGCGGCCAATAAATTTGATTTGATTGATTGTTAGATAGCTAGATAGACAGACTGATAGCTAGATTAGATTAATAGGTAGGTAGCAGTGGTGGGTTGCCCCCAGTTCGCAGCGGTTCTATAGAACCGGTAGTAAAACCGGCGGGTGGCTCCGCCCACTGACCCTGACATAATGAAAACGCTTCTGCGCATGCACAGAAGAGCGCGCATATGTATGAAGCGAGAGAGCACACGCAGCCCCATTGCGAACCGGTAGTAAAGGTAAGTAAAACCCACCCCTGGTAGGTAGGTAGGTAGGTAGATAGATAAGATAGATAAGATAGAGAGATAAGAAAGAGAGAGAGAGAGAGAGGGAGGGAAAGAAAGAAAGAAAGAAAGAAAGAAAGAAAGAAAGAAAGAAAGAAAGAAAGAAAGAAAGAAAGAAAGAAAGAAAGAGAAAAAGATATACTGGATTGGGAGACTGACAGCTTGTTATAATTATCATCAGAAATTGTTTGGATGGATGGAAGTCCTGCATGGAAGAATAAAACACCCTGTTTCAACAGAAGACTAAAATAGTCTTTGGCTTCTATCTATTCATTTAGTCACCATAAGTTACAAGGACACTGAAAAAAGACTTATGACTGTTTTTCACACTTACGACCATTGCAGCATCTCCAATGGTCATGTGATCAAAATTCAGACGCTTGTCAACCCATTTATATTTATGACAGTTGCAGTGCCCTGATGTCATGTGATCACCTTCTGCAACCTTCTGATAAGCAAAGTCAAAGGGGGAAGCCAGATTCACTTACTTACCATCTTACTAACTTAACAACTACAGTGATTCACTTAACAAAAGTTGCAAAATGGGGCAAAATTCACTTAAGAATTGTCTTGCTTAGCAATAGAAATTTTGTGTTCAATTGTGATTGTAAATTGAAGACTACCTATGTAGAGAGCCAGAGGATGGCAACTACAAACCCTCGGATCCTGTTTACAAGAATATCAACGCGTTGCACTCAATGGAACCTTTGACAATATCTTTTTTTTTAAATAAATTTTTTATTAGAGCATCAGAAAGAAAAATCAAAAACAAATGTATAATAATTTTTCTATCATGGTGTAACATTGCCAAAATATCCATATATATATATATATATATATAAATATACCAGTAATCAGAGAGTAAAAATAGAAAATATTTACAGATTCTTGTATACAAATTTACCTTTCCAATACTTATTGATTACCATAAATATACAATCATCTATAATTATAATTCAACATTATCCTTTGTCTCTCTCCCATCGTTTCTGGGTCCAATCATACCACATATTTCAACTACCATAAAAATCTGAGTCTCTTTTACCCTTGATCAATTTTGTAAGTCTGAACCTTTGACAATATCTAAATGACACGTTGCATCATTGTACATAGATGCAACAGCCTTTAATATAAAGCACTTTTGCATTCAAATACAGCCATTTCCAAATACAGTTTAGCAACACCCCTTGCAATACTATGAGACCATTTCCCATCAGTATGTACCTTTTTAACTGGATTCAAAGACAAAGAGAGTCCCCATATTCAGTCCATATGCACACCTGCACAGGTCTGTTCAGGCATTGTTCAAATCCATGTGCTAAGCACACCTATCCACCTGTGCCAAGGGTGCATATGGAGAATGCGCCAGTCTCCTAACTTTCCTAACTTCTTTGCACTTCTCATGCAAATATTTATTATGCATATTCCTTGGGGATCCAGTGCAGTAAATAGATGCGCGGTTATCACCTGAAAAGTACATGCCCGATTTGTGAATTGCATTCCGCGTTTAGCCGAAACACCAAACGACCCCGCAAACAAGGCGCGTAAACCAATCCCGCCGCTCCTAATCTTTTCTTTGCAGCTGCATCCATTAATCTTTACCTGTGCATGATGCTCAAAAGGGTGATGATGCATGAAGAACGGGGATCTCCGATCCTTCGGCTTTTGCTTTCCCGCGCCTTCCCTTGCTCGGCTTTGTTGATGTAGTTAAATTTGCCGCAGCTCCGGAAACCCAGCAAAAAAAAAAAAAAAACCTCGCGCGCTCGATCTGCCCGGGCTAACGTTCTCCTAGACCTCGCGGGGGCTCTCGGGAGTTGTAGTTCTTTTGTAGTGGCAACAGTTTCCCCGTGTAACAGTCCTGTACCTCACGGCGACGCCTTCTTTAGATTATGGGAAAAACGGGTTTGTAATAACTTTGCCTAACTTCTATAAAATGCTGCAGCGTCTGTGAAACCTCTATTAACTGCAAATAAAAAGTCAGCCGTTAGTGCTGCGTTTTATGTAAAGCTCTTTAAGGCAGTGGTGAAATCCAATTATTTTTACTGCTGGTTCTGTGGGTGTGGCTTGGTGGGCGTGGCAGGGGAAGGATACTGCAAAATCTCCATGCCCACCCCACTCCCAGGGTAAAGATACTGCAAAATCTCTATTCCCACCCCACTCCAGGGGGAAGGATATTGCAAAATCTCCATGCCCACCCCACTCCCAGGGTAAAGATACTGCAAAATCTCTATTCCCACCCTACTCCAGGGGGAAGATATTGCAAAATCTCCATTCCTACCCCACTCCAGGGGGAAGGATATTGCAAAATCTCCATTCCTATCCCACTCCAGGGGGAAGGATATTGCAAAATTTCCATTCCCACCCTACTCCAGGGGGAAGAATATTGCAAAATCTCCATTCCCACCCTACTCCAGGGGGAAGGATATTGCAAAATCTCTATTCCCACCCCACTCCAGCGTAAAGATACTGCAAAATCTCTATTCCCACCCTACTACTCCAGGGGGAAGGATATTGCAAAATCTCCATTCCCACCCCACTCCCAGGATAAAGATACTGCAAAATCTCCATTCCCACCCCACTCCAGGGGTAAAGATACTGCAAAATCTCCATTCCCACCCCACTCCAGGGGGAAGGATATTGCAAAATCTCCATTCCCACCCCACTCCAGGGAGAAGGATATTGCAAAATCTCCATTCCCACCCCACTCCCAGGGTAAAGATACTGCCAAATCTCCATTCCCACCCCACTCCAGGGGGAAGGATATTGCAAAATCTCCATTTCCACCCCACTCCAGGGTAAAGATACTGCAAAATCTCTATTCCCACCCCACTCTGGGGCCAGCCAGAGGTGGTATTTGCTGGTTCTCAGAACTGCTCAAAATTTCCCCTACCGGTTCTCCAGAACCTGTCAGAACCTGCTGGATTTCACCCCTGATTTAAGGCCAATGTAAACTTTTAAGATGTTGCCAAGCTTGAAAAACACCGGTTTAAATCAAACCTCAACAGTGCAATGGTGATACACTTGTCAACTGAATCATAAGAAGTAGAGGAGACATGATAGCAGTGTTCCAATATCTCAGGGGCTGCCCCAAAGAAGAGGGAGTCAAGCTATTCTCCAAAGCATCTGAGGGCAGGACAAGAAGCAAGGAGTGGAAACTAATCAAGGAGAGAAACAACTTAGAACTAAGAAGAAATTTCCTGACAGTTAGAACAATTAATCAGTGGAACCACTTGCCTCCAGAAGTTGTGAATGCTCCAACACTGGAAGTTTTTAAGAAGAGGTTGGATAACCATTTGTCTGAAGTGGTGTAGGGTTTTCTGCTTGGGCAGGGGGTTGGACTAGAAGACCTCCAAGGTCCCTTCCCACTCTGTTATTCTATTCTATAAATTAGGTCGATCCCTCGTGGGTATTATAGGATTGCAACTTTCATAGCAATAGCAGTTCGACTTATGTACCGCTTTACAGTTGCATAGATCAGAAATTAGTAATTACAAAAAGAGTTGATCAATGGTGGAGTAGTCCCAATGTACGTTCTCTGACGGATTGATTGGTGTCGAAACCCTTCCCCACCCCCATCGTTAGATTTCTTCCACCACGACCCGTATTTAACTTATTTAACTATCTTCGATCAGCCAGGTAAAACAAAGGAAGCTTGGCTTCCGCAATGCCTCTTGGGTACTGTAGTCCACCCGTGAAGGCGACAAACCCTGCTTCTGCGCAAGCGCGTAAAGCAAAATGCGATGTCTTCTGGGTACTGTAGTCCACCACCCCCACTTTTGTGAAGGAAGTGACGTCGAAGTTGTGGTAGGTTTCGGCAACGTGGATATGTTTTCCCAGGCTTCCTTGCGCGCCTGAGGGAACGGACGGAGCCGGAAATGTCAGAGGCGTCTGCGGCTCAGCTGGTGGCCGGCTCGGTTCCTTCCTGTGGAGAGCCGGACTTCCTCCGCCTGAGGAGTAGGCAGCCGGGAGTCCCCGGGAGAAGCCTCGGGAAGGATTCTTACTGAACGGAAAGCCCGTAGTCCTTGGTTCGGGGCCCAGCAGTGACCCGGTGAGGAGCGGAGACCGCGAGAGGATGCGACCGGGGAGTGCCCAGCCCCGTCTCTGCCGGGTAAGTCCACGGGGAGTCCCGTCCTCCGGCCACTGGTTAGCTTTCTTCTCCTCGGCCCTCTCAGGCCGGCCTTCCCCGACTGTTAGGTGTTGGACTACGGTCCCCATCATCCGCAGCCCGCATTGGACTACAGTTCCCATCACCCGCAGCGCCGTCCTCCTCGCCATTGATTAGGTTTCTTCTCTGCGGCCCTCTCAGGCAGGCCTTCCCCGACTGTTAGGTATTGGACTACAGTTCCCATCATCCGCAGCCCGCATTGGACTATGGTTCCCATCACCCGCAGCGCCGTCCTCCCCGCCGTTGGTTAGCTTTCTTCTCTGCGGCCCTCTCAGGCAGGCCTTCCCTGACTGTTAGGTATTGGACTACAGTTCCCATCATCCGCAGCCCGCATTGGACTACGGTTCCCATCACCCGCAGCCTGCGTTGGACTACAGTTCCCATCATCCACAGCCCACATTGGACTACAGTTCCCATCATCCGCAGCACCATCCTCCCCGCCATTGGTTAGCTTTCTTCTCTTCAGCCCTCTCAGGCTGGCCTTCCCCGACTGGGCCCCCTGTTGTGTATTGGACTACGGTTCCCATCACCCGCAGCCCGCATTGGACTACAGTTCCCATCCCCCGCAGCTTCGTCCTTCTGCACTGATAGCTTTCTTCTCTTTGGTCCTCTCAGGCTGGCTTTCCCCGACTCAGCCCTCTATTGTGTATTGGACTACAGTTCCCATCATAGGGATTTTTTAAAAAAATATTTCCTCTTAACAGGATGGGTGCCTTAAAGTGTTTAAAACCGGGCAGCCAGCTCTGTGGGATTCTCTGCCCCAATTTTTATTTTCATTTTTTTGGGCTTGCTTAGAAGTGTGCTAAATAGAAGTAGGACATGAAGGTGAATAATTATCATTGGATATGTATATATTCTGGTATTACCTGTTGCCAGCACTACCCACACATGTTGATAGAAACTCTTACTTACAAGTTGTTGCTTATTTCTGTCCTCCAGTGTTAGATGAATAGAAGTGCTGGAATTCAGTACTGCAGCATTTTGTATTTTAGGTGGCGTGGTGGGAGTCATGTATGTATGTATGTATGTACCCTGTTTCCCCTATATAAGACATACCCTGATAATAAGCCCAATCAGGCTTTTGAGCGCATGGCAATAAGGCCAAGCACCTATTTCAGGGTTCAAACAAATATAAGACATTATTTTCAGGGAAACACGGTATATGTATATGTATTCATACATGAAGACTATATCGGATAAAGGACAAAATAGAGTAGTACCTTAATACTCATTGTTAATTGGTTCCAGGAGGTGTAATGAGTACCAAAAAACGATGAGTACCAAACAATTTTTCCCCACAAGGAATAATATAGTGAGTCACAAGGCAGCCGATGCTGACAAATTTTAAGTTATATGTTGAGTAACAAACAGACGAGTAATGGGACAAAATTTTCACATCAAAATGCATAGAGTACCAAATCCAATGATTTCAACGCAGTTGAGGACCAAGGTACCACTGTAAGGATAAACGTGCCTGAATTAGAACGGTGATTGATTCATGTACAAAATTAGCAACGCTGCTTTTAAAAAGTTCATTCCAAAGCAGGGAAACTTCAGATCAATTTCTGAAAGGCAAGCTTGCAAGTGCAAAGGGAAATGAATGCGAAATGCATACTTGGCTCTCTTTAAATTGCCAACTTGAATTCAGTGGAATTTACAGCTTCATTTTGACATGTTAATCTTGTTTTTCACAGAAATTGTAGGGAACACAAGTTTACAGATATGGTGTGAAGTGTTTGCTTAAGGTTTTATCTTACTGCTTTTGATAAGTTCCTATGCTTTTTAGCCCAGTGGTCGCTTAAGCTTTTCCCCCTAGTTACTTTAACTGATTTAACAACAGTTTAAAATCATGAAGATATCCTGGTGGAAGTCTTTTGATAGTTAGCATTTTCTCAGTACCTGTGTAGCAAAAATTACACTATAGGATAAAAGTTTGCTGCCAGGTTTTAATCTTTCTTCTCATCTCTGCTTACAACAGCAATATGTTATAACAGGAATATGTACTACTTATGCGATTGTGGTTTGAAGTTCATTTCCAATGACTTCATAAGAGCTGACAAATGAAATAATGAAGCATAAAATTAAGTTAGTCATTCCAGATCTTATTTATTGTTTAAAATATATTCTACCTTTCTGCCACAATATGATTCAAAAAGACTGGCATAATATCATCCAAAACAGTCATAGCACAAATCAATAAGACAATAGCTTAAAAAAAACAAGCAAGAAAAACAATCAATCTAAACTGGCTCACATGAGCAGGGAGACAAAACAGGGACAAACTCAATCATTTGAAAGGTCTGTGATATTCACGTTCTTCTATTGTGTTCTCTAAAGCAGCCACAACTTTCCCCAACTCCAGATTTACTACACTGTTACTATACTCCCATCAACCTCAGGCAGCAGGACCAATAGCCATTTGTAGAAGAGGGACAGAGGTTACTCAGGAATTGAAGTAGCATTTAGATCAGTGCTTTTGTTCTGTAGATATTAAAATACACTGAAGTCCGATGGCATGGAGCAGAGTCCAATGTGGTAGACAAGTTAAATGGATTTTTTTAACCTTTTCAGCTGAATATTAATGAATTAAATGTTTATTGCAAGCCATATTCTATTCTATTCATTGTTTTTTTC